TCCCGCGAATAAATGTCGCAGTTACGCGGATTGCACTGGGAATTGGGCACGTAGGCGTTCGCGTTTCCGCTCTCGCCACGGGATGCACCGGCGGGTGCAATAACGATAACGGCGATCGTACCAACGTTCGCGGCAACGTTACGTGACGATGACGGGCGGCGGCGTTACGACCGCGATAATAAAGAGATACGGGAATTAGCTCGGCCCGTTTGTTCCTTCCGAACATTCGGGGTGTCCTACGGCGGCGAACGCGCGGACACGTATTCTATTAATACTAGATTGTTACCCCCCGAGAAGGCAAATGTGGAAAATCTGCTCGTTTTTGCTGCAAAGTAAAAGTTATCGTGTATGATATTTACGTTATTATATTTGCCAATTGAGGGTTGATATTTTGCACGTATAGAGGAAGCCCGGGTCTAAATGGCCCTAGGGATACCCCTGTATGTTGCTTACGAGCCCTTTTTTTAGTATTTACCTGGAGAGAAATCATAGACACAAAATTGCAAAATGATCTTTAATAAACGTTATTATTGAAAGTTCATGGATAATTATATCAAATTTTATCGACTAAAAATGTATTAAATAGACTTTCTCATGGGTTATCTACTTTCTCTTTGCTTCTTATTAAAATGTAAAATTATCTTCGAGGGGGAACCGCTGAGGGCAGTGTGATGTACAGATTTGCGGCATTACTGGGCATCACTAGGCATTACTGGGTATTTTTTGGACATTCGGCCTTGCTGGGGCATTATAAAAATAAAATTAGATAAAATAAGATAAAGTAATGCCCACTGGGCATTAGTGGGCATTGGTGTACAAGATTTTGGCCAGCGGTTTTCCCCTTGATTATCTTCTATTATTCGACGACGAATTATAGATTCACGACCGTCCGGGGGATTATAAGCGCGATGTTATGGCGGTTCGCTCGTCATGTCTGCCGATAATGTTAACGGAAGACTAAATAAGGGTAGATACCGCGAGATGTGGATCAATGGCGAATCTCGGGGTTTCGCCGTATCAACATAATTTTCCCCTTCCTCCGTCCGTGACCCTCGCGGTTGAAACCGTCCGTACGCTCGTACCCCTTTGCTAGGGGTTGGCATAGTTTAATATACAAGGCACGGGAGAGCGATCCGGCTTCTCGACCCCGGGATTTCGTTATAAATAAGGGTCGTGCACTCTCCGCCCTGCAGTACCGCAGAAGAAGAAACGCTAACGCACGAGGTGCTAACCGTTATACGTTCTCGTTTTCGTCGAGCTAATTCCACCGACCATTACTCTTCTCCCAGTACCGCGAGCAAGCCGAGGGAGTGTTCGATACACAGCACGGTCTTTCCGTAACAAGCAGGAAAATTGAATCGATCGAGAAAACACCGGCAAAGGTAGTGATTGATTCCATCCGCTTCGTTGCGAACAACAAGATTTCCGTGCGTTTAATTATGCTAACGTTTTTCCTCACCTTTGCAATCATTTCATTCGGCTTAGTCAATGGGACAATTTGATTATTGTACTTTTCCTGCACGGTAATTCAGTCATAATTGATTCATTTTTAATAAAAAATGCAGAATTCGATTAATCCTCCGAGTTCGTTGCATCGAAGTGCAAAATGTAGCGTGGAAAAATTCACTTGATCGCGATAGTAAGAAGCTTATTTGTGGTGGTTCTCGATCCCCTTGAGAATAAATCAACGTGAACAGATAGCAGCGAAAAGAAACCGGAAACAATTCAACGATCGGAAAACCAATTTCCGGATTGGAGCTACATCGTAACTATTCATATCGCGTTTAACTTATCTACTCCCTTCCATTGCAATCGTATTTAATAATAATCTAAAATCGTATCGAGCAAGAGAGAGAGAGAGAGAGAGAGAGAGAGAGAGAGAGAGGGGGGGGGGAGGGGAAGTATATAAATCACGTAACCGGAAGTAATTTCCGCTTTTGTGAGTTTTTTTCTCTCGCCCCTGGAAAAGAAACAAACCAGATCGCCATTCCCCTTCCGACCCGGCGCTCTTTCCTCCTCCGTACTTTCCGTGATTCTCCGCGGCCGCACGCGACAACATCGGGAACCGGCCGTAAATTTTCCGCGCACAAAGCGAACGAAATTCAAGAAAGTACCCGGCCTCTATGTCTCGCGTCACGCGAGCCACCGATAACATTAACGAGCCAATCCTCGCGACGACGACGTCCCGGCGTGCGCGCGATCTTCCGACGATCGAAACGCGAGAGGGTGTGTTATCGTTCCGCGGCTTCTACCCCTCCGTGCTTTATGCGTGATGGACCCGTACAAATTATAGGCGACCCTGCTGGCCACAGAAAAAAAAAGTTACTCGCTCCGTTCCTTTCTTTCCACCCTAAAAAGCCTCGTTCTCTGAAGCCTCGGATATCCGGCGAAAACGTGAGCAACCCTTTCTGCCAAGTTGTTTCGTTCTCCTGTAAATTCTGTGTGTGTGTTTTTTTAACAACATGTCGAGAGTCTAGTGCTATCATTGGGCATAAAACGCGCGGGAATTTCATCGCGGTGTCCGAAGGATCACGAGCCGCCAGAGGGTTAGACAGAGGGAAGGATCCTCGCGTCCATGTACGACACACAGATGGAGCGCATATGCGAAATTTCGCAGATTAGATCAGCCTGATACCTTCCGGTGTGATCTCTCCCGGCGTCGCAAAAAGCGAAATTTACGCACTGACGACAGTTTGAGAGGTCCCGGTGGCGTACATCCCTCCCTGCGGCTAATGTACCAGTCGTTCTCCCGTCATCCGCCCGTCCTAACGTCGCGGATTTCCCTCTCCGGCGGCGGCAGCGAGTGTCGAGAGTGTGTAACACGCCGAGAAAGCGCGCGCGTTTTCTTCCCCTCCGCATTAGGAGGAACGTTTGTACGCCTCACTTCGGCCCCTCCGCCGCTCTCTCGCCCCTCAGCCCTTTGCCTTTTTTCTTTTCCCCCCGACGCCAGATGCTGCTAACTGCGCTCACCCTGATGAGATCCCGCTCCCCTCCGCTCCCCGCCTCGCGCTGCAACTCGCGCCTCTCTCCCCGCTTTCCCCCCCGGCCGATCCATCTTCCTCGAAAAAGACGAGATCGCGCAACATCGAGGCCGCTTTATTCGCCCGAGCGAGGAGGAACCACGGATTCTTTATATTCGCCGACTGCTCTGGTTATTGTGCCGGGGCTGCCGATCATTCGTTGCTCGGCGATATCGCCGGGCAAACTACCGCGTAAAAGCCGCGTCTTTCAAACGAGAAGATTGCATCTGAGATACGCACAACAGGGGGTGATATTAGAAAATTAACGAGAATCGTCCGAAATACTTTCGTGCATTCAGAAGCCATCAGCGATATCGGAGCGATTTAATTTAAAAAGATCCCCCATGAAACCCGACAAACTTCCGCGCGTCCTAATTATTTTTTCTAGTACTGATAACTTAATATTTTCGCAATTTTGGGATGAATTTTAAAAGTTCCAAAGCGAAGTCCAACTTCCCAGACTCGATTATCGAAAAATCAAGTCGAAATTGATCGGAGGGCTTATCGCTGCAAGTAAACCCGCGATTCGCGTGAGACTATACGTTTTGGATAAGATTTTCGTGCTGAATTGTCGCCTTACACGCGTACCAATGTCAGCCAGATCGAGCTGGTTCTCAAGTCCGGTTTATCTTCAACGTATCCATTAAACTGTCATCGAGTCAGTAGTACGCCTCGTCCGTAGATCTAACCAAGTTTGACGAAACTTTCCCGCGCGAAATTAGACATCGAACTACTTGTACGTCCGACGAACTTTCTTCATCCTCGAGAATTTCTTACGCGTTACCGCGATATTGAAGGTTCTTGTCACCCGCTCTTGATAACGTCAGAGCCCAGACGTTTGGCAATAAAAGCGAATAATTCGAATCTCTGATGTACACAGGGAAAACGATGTCTTTGGATTTAATGAATTTTGCATTAAAAAAATCGCGTATCGACGTTTCTGTGTACGGCCGACAACCCTAATCGGCGCGCAGTTTAAAGTCGAAAAATAGACGCGAAGACAACATCTTTATACTGTTATTGTGACAAATATTGCCACATGCCTCAGTGGTCGAATTGGTGAGACGACCGCCTAGAGTGTAGGCAGGTTCAGGTTGAAACCCTAGCTGAAGTAATATTTTTCGCAATAAATTTTCTGTATTATTAAAAATGCCAGATATATGGTCAAGAAGATATTGACATTAATAGATTTTGTATCCAAAGAAATTTGATATTTGGAATGGACCAAACAAATCATTTGGTTGAATTTGAAATAAAATATTTCTTTGAAACGAAAGATATATTCTCTTTAATTTAAATGATATTGTTTTATTCCAACGACATTATCGTTTGATAGAAAATATGTGAAAAAAATGTACATACATACATCTTTTTCCCTCTACGTTAGAATTTTTCCTCCATTCGAAGAAGAAAGATAAACACTGAATTAATACACTGTTCAGCTGTAAAGAATAGACCATTAGATGATTAGACTACGTCTGCTGATGGGGTCGCTTATCTGTCTGGCCGCCGTAATTTTACTTACGAGTTCGGCGGCCATCTAGTGGCAGCACCGAATTTTATAGGCGCCTGGCCAAATAATATAATTATTTAATTGAAAGATATTACTTCAAACAATAGTGTCTTTTCCATCAAATAACAGAGATTGTTTGACTAGAACAAGAAAACTTGTATTCAAACAAATAATGTTTCGTATAAGCACACGTTGTTTCAATGAAACAAATTTCAATCAAATACGTAGGAACACTAAGTATAGACTTACTCCAGAGAAACCTTTTTCTCTGTGTACGCGCAAGTAACTTACAATAGCGGAGGAAGAATTAAGAGGCACATGTCAATCACGAAATTACAATGCGGCGTTTAACGTTGGCGGAGTCGGATGGAATCACGGTTAATATCCCGAGATTGCCTATCTCGCGAGACGCCATCAATCTTGCGCGAAGTGACATATCGCTAAAGCGATCCTGCTTTCTGTTTCAGCTCTCGGAGCTCGAGCAGCGGGTGTTGGAGGCGGAGGGCAGGGCGGACGAGGCTGAAGATAAGGTGAGCGAATTAATGATACTTTTCTAAATTAACAATATATACGCTCTATGTATGCTCGACGCGAAACAACGTTCATCTCGAAGGGATGCAAGACTCTGTTAGTAAATTTCGGTTTTTCTAATGTCACTGAATTAGAGGAGGCTGCAAAGGCGTGCGTTCTTCCGTGGCTTCCTCGCGAGCTGATCTCCACCCCATCTAGGTGGAATCGGCAGTGATACGTGGCATCCGCGGTGGATCGTCAACCCTTGTATTCTCTCTTCCTTCGGGGGTTGTTTACCCCCACCCCCTCCCCGTTTTGTACCATACACCGGTGCTCTTATCGACGACGAGTCGACTCCATTTCTGCGACCCCGCGCGTTCCTTATCCTCGTGTATCTTTACGCGACTTTACCGACGGACACCAAACATCCCTCCGTGGTACACTCCCCTACGACAACCCCCCCCCCCGCGAACCCGATTTACCAGCCGGGGGCAACGGCGAGTTGCCAAAGTTCCGCAGCCCCACTGGCGGTGGGTATCTCCATTAAGAAAAAAATTACATTGAAGCCAATAGATGCATGCACTGAGAACAATGTTTTGATCGTATCAACAAGACCATGTATGATAGAATGTATTTTGACTAAACCAAACAGAATGTCTAGTTAGCACGATAGGGCTCGATATTTCATAACCAGAAGTTTGCTAGACTTCACTACACATCTGGTAAATCCTAAAGGAATTCTGATTCGTCCATTTTCTAACAGACGACTGGTTGAATCTACTAGATTTTTTTTTCAGTGTGGCACCAGATTCTTCCTCGAGTATTAAGCTTAAAGCCTGTTTTATCCAGCTCGTTCTGGTACTTTGAGCATTTGGTGTTACTTTATCTTCGATAGGCTGCTAACCTTGCAACGAAGAAAACCTCCAATCTGAAGGGCTGTACCCCCTAAAGGGATATGTGTGGCAGGATATTCTCGGTGGTTGCCACTTCCCTTCAGGAAATTCCGAGAAAACCAGCGGTGTCCATGGATTTAAACTCGGATCCTTTCGTTTATTTATTTACTAAGCAGCGTACATTTCTCTACGCCACACTCTCCACCGGCACCAGAATATTAATTTTAGATTGATAAAATTTAATTTTCGGAGTCACGCGTGATTTTCCAACTTTAGCAGGCAGAAAAGGACAAGTTTTTCGCGGCCCTTAACAAGTTTGATCTTTGGTTAATTGAAATCATCCGCGAAAATGGGTAAGCGGGGTAGTTTCGTTACCGACATCCGCGAAGAGGGTGAGAATATCGATTAACTGACGCAGATGCGTCGGTATCCGCGACGGTGTGCCTCAAAGAGGGACGCAAGGAGAAAGGGGTAAAAGCGTGAAAGAGAAAGAGGCGCGGACGGAAAGAGGGAGCGGGCAGATGGGGAAGAGGGAAGAGTGATAAGAGTGGCAAGATGGCCGTGCGGCTGGCCGGCGAGGTCGTCGTTTTGTTATGACCCCGAGATTCGCCCTCGCGAAACCACGTGTGCATCCGCGACGGTGCATCGTCGCGACGCCACCCCCCTGCGCGCCGATCTCTCGTGAGCGATCGCCGATCGGCGCCGTTGTACGACCGTCGATTTGTCGCGCGTGTCCGCGGTGGAACGTCGAAGGTCGAGGTCGTCGAGGTCGTCGGAGCCGTCGTTCTTGTTCCCGTGCGCGAGGAATTATGGCGCGCAGCAGGTGACATCGATGAAAGGTAAACGCCTCGCCTCGAGGATCGAAAAGTAACCGACGAGTCTCTCGCATGAGCCGTGCGATAATGATTCCCGTTCGTTTGTTCGACGGGCTCGCGGCGACCAACGCGGGATGCGTCTTCGCGCACACGAGGATATTCCGCGGCGTCGAGTGTCGGACCGACTGAAATTCTACCCGGCATCGAAACCGATACGATCGTCGTGCGGAAATCAGATCTCGCGTGCACGCGTAGAATCGCTTTCCATTTTCACTCGCAACGCGCGATAATTGGCATAAAAGAGAGAGTTTTCGGACAGTGGATTTCGAAGTTTGAACTTTGCATCGGGAATTGAATACCAGTTAAATTCAATATAATCTCGTACAGCTTGAAGTTTGATACTGCGGCTACGCAGGGCTGACTTCCATAGTTTATTGAGAGCGATAGAAACGAATGGAAGTGGCATTTATTTTCCTGTCAGTCACAACGTTGAAAATTGCGTAATCGAAATTAGATACATTTACTCAGAGATCAAGCTTTTTTAGTCGACTTTAACTGGCCAGTGTTAGAAAAGTCTTCGTCTTTGCTCCAACGCTTATTTCCGTTAATTATTTGAATCTATATATAAAAAACTTTACTTTTTAAAAATTGTATTGTACTTCCAGAAATTGTTGTATCTTAAAAAAATTTTTTTAACTGTGTCTACTTACAAAATTGCATCTTTGATCAGTACAAAAATCGGGGTAGAGTTTCGTAGAAAAGTATTAATGTAATACTAGGTATAAAAGAGGCAACTTGGGCTTAAATGTACTTTATCGATTTTTTAAGACACGCTTTAGTAGTCGAAAGCAAGGCGATATATCGAGGGACAAGTTTTATATTTATTATAAATATCGCGACGGGAGCAACGAGCGCGGCACTTAAACGCGACGTACCGGTTGCAACAGCGACTTAATGAGTCGCGTCTCATGTAAAATTGGCTTACGGCCAGTGTATGAGTAATCCTCACTTCCCGCCGACATCCGTGCATTAAATAAAACGAGTATACCGTCTTCGTCTCTCTCTTTCTTTCTCCTCGCAATCCGCGCGTCTTTTGGTGCTGAACCCTATTTCGCGAAGCCATTAAGACGGTTTGTCAAGGAAAAATAAAAACATTTTTAAAGCATAATAATACTCTCTCAAAAAGTCAGTCAGTGGATTATCACTAAACAGTGAATAGTCACTGATTTACAATTGTATGTATACCACTGAAAATCGCAGACTACACCCACAGAAAAAATTTCTGGATCCAATGCTTTTTACACTTAAATGTATCATAAAATAGAATCGATATCGCGCCAATCATATTCATTATAGAGAAAGGAATATTTTAATCTTACATGAAAAATTATAAAATTTAGAATAAAATAGCAGTTGTATCGTTTTTTGTCGAATATATCGTGGCACCAACTTCGTGCGTCGTAAGATGGAGGGAAAATTTATTCCAAACGCAAGAACATATTAACTTACATTTATATAAGTTACTCTTGTCTCAATATAGTAAGTCGATCATTTTTAATTCGATAGAGGAGAATAAAAATTATTGATTTTATTTTGATATTGTCTTATTTTTTATACTAAATGAGGTTGTGTGAAATATAAATGCGTCAAGAATATTTTTGTCTCGGTAACAGAAATCCTTTCTGAGGGTTCATATTCACTGTTTTCAGTGATAATCCACCGATTGATTTTTAGAGAGTACTTATCAGGAAAAATCAAATTAGCATTGCCATTTGTGTCTCGATATATTTCGCCTTCTCTCTGGTATATTTTGTTTGGTTCATTAATCATTTTCAAAGCCTTCGCATGAATAAACGAACGTATCTGTATATTGAAAATTTAATTTATTAATTAAAATTAATTCCGGCAGCTACGTCAAGAGAATTTATAATTTAAATTGCAAATTCATACATTTGAATAAATAAAAAAATGCATATTACTGCCGTTATGTTGTAAATATCGAATATTACGTTGAAAATATCGAAAAATATATTCTTTGTCCGCGGCAGCTTTTCTCGCAAATCGTAGCACATTTTCGCCGACTATTATAGCAGGTGGTCTTAACGTCCATACATATTTCATGGGAAATTACGTGGCACAGCGAATCGATATGTGCCAAATAGGTAACTTTGAGACAGGTACATTGATCCCCATGCAGTGCATGTACTTACATATTTTATATAATCATAAATATTGTAATTATTACCATACGTAGCGTCCAATTATTTTATACATTATATGCAATATCTTTCGTAGAATCCGTGATTTTCGAGTGCGTGAATAGTTTCGTTGTGGTATACGAGTCATGGGGATCTTTGGTGACACAATTGTGCGCCAGTAGTTTTATTATCGCAACGCCAGTCGTCGTCGCGTCGGGGTGCACCGAGAAAAAAGCGGGGTGCGTTTTTCGTTATCGCTTTTTATCTCGTCAACGTGATGATTTGGGAGGCAACGTTTCGTGCATTTATACCCTGGGACGGCGAGCGTTGAGATCAACGATTCTCCTGTCTAATTAGTATTCTGGAGCATGAAAACTTAGATGAGTCACTCTATACGATACATGCTCGAGACGAGCCCCTGACTCCCGTCAAAGAGTGCGAGTCGTTTCTCTGCATCGTCCTTTCGAATTTTCTTGCTTTAGTCCCAGTCTACAATAGATGATTTAAGCCCTAAGCTTTAAGAAATTGGCCAATCACGGTCAAGTATGAGAAGAATGCGCGACTGTGATTAGTCAATTTCTTAAGGCTTAGGGCTTAAATCTCTATTGTAGACTGGGACTTAAGCCTGCGCTAACGGGACACGTTAGCGAGAAATGGAGTAGATCGATAAATTTCAAGACTGTTGTGGAGAAACGGGGTGAAACATTCACGAATCAGACTATTTTCAAGTTGTACCTTCCATAATTCCAGCCCTTCTGAAGTAACTAGTGTGTCAAATTGGACCAGTGAGAAAGGAAAGGGGGCACGTGACATTTTGGCAAAAAATTGAGTTAATTTTTGCATAAAATGCAAATGTTACAAAACATTTTTCAATGAATACTTACTTTACGACCCTCTCTCGTGAGGGCAGAGTGGCATAAAATCCACTGAAAATTCATGTTACAAAACAGTTTTCTTTCTCGAATGTATGATTTTGTCACATAAACCCTCTCTGTCCTGGTCGATGCAATTTTCGAATTGGTTAGTTTGGTCTTCTCCCAAAATTTCCAAGTTGCGCTTTCCATAATTCCAGCCCTTCTGAAGCAACCAGTGTCTCAAATTGGACCAGTGAAAACGGAAAGGGGGCACGTGACATGTTGGCCAGAAGTTGATTTAATCTTTGCGTAAAATGCAAATGTTAAAAAACATTTTTCAATGAATACCTACTTCACGACCCTCTCTCGTGAGGGCAGAGTGGCATAAAATCCACTGAAAATTCATGTTACAAAACAGTTTTCTTTCTCGAATGTATGATTTTGTCACATAAACCCTCTCTGTCCTGGTCGATTCAATTTTCGAATTGGTTAGTTTGGTCTTCTCCCAAAATTTCCAAGTTGCGCTTTCCATAATTCCAGCCCTTCTGAAGCAACCAGTGTCTCAAATTGGACCAGTGAAAACGGAAAGGGGGCACGTGACATGTTGGCTAGAAGTTGATTTAATCTTTGCGTAAAATGCAAATGTTAAAAAACATTTTTCAATGAATACCTACTTCACGACCCTCTCTCGTGAGGGCAGAGTGGCATAAAATCGACTGAAAATTCATGTTATGCTCATAAAACGGTTTTCTTTCTCAAATATATGATTTTGTCACACAAACCCTCTCTGTCCTGGCTGATTAAATTTTCGAATTGATTAGTTTGATCTTCTCGAAAAATTTCGAGTCGCACCCGATATCTTTCCGCGAACCTTGACGCAGAAGTTCACTCGCTCTTAGTCATTTAGAAAGCTGGCTTTCCCTCCGCGTCTTTGCAGTTTCTATTTTTTTCCCCCCCCTTTCCGATTGATTCGTCGCGAGTGAACGTCGCAGGGGGCTCGCTCGCGTCGCTTCAGGGTCATCGGCTTGACCCCACGGTGGTTGCGCGTCCCGAGTGCATGCATACGAGTAGCATCCACAAATTCACTCATTGGCTATGAGCCAACGTGACTCACCGCCTGTAGAAAACCCCCGGTGGTTTATGTTATACTCGGCCCGTACGTACGCCTCGTTCGCCTCGCTTCAGTTCGGCGCGATCTTCACCGGCGGGCGGACGAGAGAAAGCGGGCTCTCCGCACGTGCGCTCGTCCGCGAGATTCGCCGTCGCGGTTTTCTTGTCCCCGTCTTATTTGAGGAGTCGCCCCGCGCCGCCGACCGAGTCCTCGGGGGAGGAGCGTCCGCCGCGGATGAGCACCTATTTTCCGACGAATCGCCGGAGCGAGGGACGGAGTTAGAGCTAGCGTTAAGGAAATCATCTACCATGGAGGCGTCCAACAGCGGTAAGATTTTGCTGCCGCGCGACGGGAGTCCGAATGAAATTCCTGATCCCGACACCCCCCGAGTGCGGAGGTTTCTCCCATTTTATCGGCCATCATTTCATCGCCCGATTTCGCGTTATTGTTTAAAATATAAGTAACATTAATTTCCGCGTGTGCGTAATAATCGCGCAATAATCTCGGCAAACGGGCCAGTGATTACGTCACGTAATACGCTTCGAATATGTAATCCGCTTTTCGCGGAGCTTAATCGACGCGGGTGAATTCGTGCCGCAAAATTCCGCATGTAGAACATTGTCCAGTGAGCGTAATACTTCGGGGGGAAGGTACCGATGAATTATTAAATTAGTATTTCTTATATTTTCGCACGGGAAAAGGTTGACTGAAGCTCCAGCGCGACTTGGAGAACGGACGATAATCCCCCTCGTGCTTGTTGACGTAAAGTCGGCTGTCGATTAACGCCGTGGGAGCGGCGCTTGAAAGAAAGCGCGAAAAACAAAGACCGAAATATCATCTCGGCGGGGCGAGGGAGGTCGAATCCCTTCCGCCGGTGAATGCGCGAGGGCGGCGAGATGCGGCCGGCGAGGACGACGGGACGGAAACGCAAACGCGCGCGAGGACGCGCTGGGGGGTGCTCGCGGGGAGGATAGAGACGGAGAAAGATCGATATAAGTTAAGGGTAGAGCACATGCACGACGACGACGACGACGACGACGACGAGGCACACGCCGGGAAAACATTCGGCGAGAGAGAGGATTTCCCCGTATTGATTTTCTCTCGAGTCCCCTTTCGACTAGTCGCCGCGGACGTTCGCTCGCTCTCGCCCGTTCGCGGCGTCCACCGTACATATTCGCCGAGCCGTTAAGGCGATATCGATTTTTGACAGCTGCTCCGCCACGTTATACGCCGTGTGTAAACGCCACACGGTCGGTGCGGTACGCGTACGGTGTGTGGGAAGGGTTCTCTCTCTCCCTCTCCCTCTCTCTCCTTCTCTCCGCCAGCGTAACGTAACGTAACGCACGCAACGCGACGTGACGTACGCACTCGCGCGAATTCGATCCGCACGCTCGCCCGTTATTGCCCGATCGCGAGCCCTCGGTTCTCCAAGCTCGCGCGACTGCTCGTCGCTGATCCGGCGCGATCGGGCAGATTTATTTTATTTTATTTTATTTTATTTCATTTTTAGTGTTTTCGCGATTGTTCGCAGTTGTTGCCGGGGGAATTCGAATGCTCTTGGTTGGCCAGTCGGATACGCGATCGCTCGATAACGAGAGGTCCGGCAGTTGTACAGTTTCTCTTGTTTCGCGATTGTCCATTAATTGACTTTCTTAATTAGCTGTCATTGTTAAGCATCGTCGGCGATTATCTGTGAATTATAAAGGGTTCTCTTCCGTAGTTCCTCGGCATCTTGGGCCCACGATTGTTCTCTGCCGAGTATGATATCTTTGTGATAACAAGAGCTTCCGACTAGCATTCACTGGCGTTTCCCGTCGGTTAATTCGTTCGTTAAGTTCTATCAGCCAGGATACTTATTCTAGCGAAATTATTTGACGCGTTAGGAAATGTACGCAAACTGTCGTATAAATCGTCTGGGAACAACGTAACGCGACGCAACGAAACGCGTTGAAAAAGATATTTATATAATTTATATAAGTGCATTTTCATATATTTGCAACGTTTAACAATTGTCGTCTAATAATCAAGTAAGCTGTCCAGCGATAGAAATGGAAAGCCAAAAGTTCTTCAAGAATCGAGTTGTAAAGAAAGCAAATTGCGAGCTTTTGTCTTTAATTTAACTTCGTACAAATTCGTCATATAGCATTGAGACTCGGTTGAACCTTCAGATATTGAAGTTTACGACGATATCCTCGTGAATTTCCTCCTTGAATTGAAGAAATGGCCGATTTAATCGCAGAATTCGCAGAGGCGACGGATGATTCACGGATGATTAAATCTAGATAATGTTGTGTTTATAAACCGCGAATGTATCAATGCCTTTAGGAAGTGTAACATTAACGTCGAAGCATCGAACGCTCGTTCACTCACTCGCTCACTCTGTTCACTTCAGGTACGGATGATGGAGGAGCGGCTAGTGAAGGGTGAGTACTGTCTCAGCACATCCGGCGTTGGCTCGCCACCGCACTCGCTGCCGTCGACCTCCGGTACGCAGAATGACAAGATCGAAGAGGTCCATTGTGCCTGCATCTCGAAGCTAGAGACACAAGTCGAGGAACAGGTAAAACGCAGTCCCTGTGGTGTTGCAGGGGTAACTTCTGCAGCCCCGAAAAGCGCACCTTTGAATGACACTTCGACATAGAAATTGTTTCAATTTTATTTTACCGAGGTAAAAAGTATTTCAAGTATTTTTTCGGCGCAACCGCGATTGTCAGAGAACACTGATGGGTCCGCGCAAAAGGCAATTTTAATGTAAATAAGCGGAGATCATACAAGATAACTGTATTACTGAAACGAAAGTAATGATTTGGTCTATGATTGTTTATCTAAAGATATCTAAAAACATTGCGCGCGGTTATCGTTTTTATCTGAAGATAATCCCGCGATTCACGCTACGTTCGCAATTTCTCCCCTCAAGACTCGAGATTATCTATGATCTCGTGAAACGTTGACGATTATCCGAATGGGCGGGATCGGGCTGTCATCTTATCAATCAGTCATCTTATCGTCATCGTTCACAGAGGCAGTTACGGCTGCAAGACGCCAGGCAAGTGGAAGCGAAAGCAGCGAGGATAAAGGAATGGGTTACTAATAAATTGAGGGAATTGGAACAACAGAATCAACACCTGAGAGAGCAGAACAACAAGTGTAACCAGCAGCTCGAGTTGTTGCGCAATCATATAACTAATATCGGGCTCAAACCTGTCGTAAGTTTCTTTTTTAATGGTTGCGCGACTGGCATTTTCTCTCTTTTTAACACTTCCTCAATAATTAAGTATTTAAAGTAAAATTTGGAAATTATACAATTATAAATAAATGTCACTTGTTCGCGCGAAAAATCAAGTTGTATGCCAGTTTGGTGACATTAACGGAAAATGGAGATGTAACAGTCGTCTAATGAAAAATTACATGAATGCAGGCACCGACGAGAGCGTCGTTATCCCTGGAAGTGGATCCCGCCTTGCGTATCGATCGCAGGCGATCGGAGAGCTTGGAGGGTACCCCGCAGACGGCACCGGAGTGCGTGCAGAATATCGCGGCGGAACCGCAAACGAGCACGAAGCACCGGCGACACTTGTCCGCCTGCGGCACCATCCAACGAGGAGTCGCGGCCGCCAACATGGACTCGAGGTAAAGGCTTCAGCGCCCTCGGGTTGGGATCCATTTCTACAGAGATTAAACACTTCTCTCGCTACTTTGACGGACACACTAAGCGCATTCGGCTATCTCGATTCTCCTTGGGAGGCCTCACGACGTGATAGCGGCGCCCGAGTTTTCGAAATGTGGTACCCTGTAACGTCCTGGGACTTCCTGAGGGGATCCATCGTCCCACCCTCTTATTTATACTTTGATTATTATTATACGTATTTGATTTATTGTACTTATTATATTTCACAAAATTTCGAATTGTTAAATTTACGTGGCGCTTTTATGTTAACGAACAGTAATGGAATTTAAAGAGGCAGCGCGCACACGCACATACGTACATTCCATACAGACGTTAATTGAATTGATTCTGTGCTTTATACTTGCCGCTTCTCTTTATTCTCTCTTAGTATACTGTCCGAGGAGCTGGCCGCGGCGGTGGAGAACCTGGTGATGTTGCCAAATATATCCGGCGTTTCGGAGGCGAGCCGAGACAGCGGAAGCTCGGAAGCGGTGCACGACTATGCCGAGATATACACACCCAGCCGAGAGGGTATGAACTGGCTGCAGGGAGAACAAGGTCCACGTCCGCCCACCCCGCCGTTACACAGGTTTCCCAGCTGGGAGGCAAAAATATATCAGGTAACGTTTAAACTCGGTTTCCATTCAAAGACGTATACAACAAATGCAGCGTGGAAACCGTGAGGATTACATTGGTGCATTAATTAAAATTTCGAGATAACAGGTTTTCTCTATATATTCCGCGTCAATTTCTCAAGTAGCTAAGTCTCGGTGACCATTTGCAGGTAGCGGACGGTGGTCTTGGCATCGGTCCACCGACAAACGAGGAGTCCGCACCCTCCACGATGACAACCACGACGAGTTCGTCGAAGCATTCTCAGGCCACGGGACACAACTTGACAGCGCACAACTCTCAGGGCTACTGCGATATCTCTGTTCCAGTATACGCTACTGTCAAAGGTAGATTATATCAATATTGCTCGAATGTTGGCGCGAGAGAAGAAAATACGCGAGAAGAGTAACAAAACTGTGACAAAAAATTACATTTACTATTATTTATTAATAGTTAGCTCTGTAATACAGCTTTTGTAGAAATTTGCGATGTCTTCGTCTTCATTGATCGTATATTTTTCAGGACGTGCCAGTCAAATCAGATCTATGCCTTTTGGCGATAGCTCTGATGATAGTTCGGACGGCGAGGAACACCCGAATCAAACCGAAACTAATACCAGAATTACCAATAGCTCGTCCGACAACACAGATTCCTCTCTCGGCAGCGGAAGCAGTCCCTCGAAAAGTATCAAAACGACCAGCAGCCTCAGTCCCGCGAAAAGAAGTTCTAGCGGGTCTCCCAGTAAAAGTGTAAAACGTGGTGAGTTTAATTAATGTAATTTTCCTTCTATCTATCCATCTATTACAAATTTTCAATAGCATTTAACATTTTATAATTTTTTATTACTTTCAAAATAATTTCCGTTTTCGAACGAGAAAAAGCGTACTATAATAAATAATAAGTAATATTTTCATTGCATTTTAATATCTATATACATTTTAATTATCTATAATTATTTTTATTAAAAAATATCACAAATAAATCAAGTATATTTTATTATAATTATTTTCATAATATTTTGCATTTTGAAAAAGCGATGATGATAAACATATAGAGGAAGGTAATCTGTTAACCAACCATTTAGAGAAGGAGACTGCATTGAAATTTACGTACAAGATATCCGACATCCAACAACTTTAAGTTCGTTTGACTTGCAGATACTTCTCTCGAGTCAGGATTATCCGAGGATTACGCAATACCTCCCGATGCACTAAGTTCGACGTCTCTAGAATCTAGCATGCCTAGCCTCCTAATGCGCGTTTCTGGCGAAAGTCCAAAGAGACAGGAATCGCTGGAGAAAACGGGCCATCTAGCGAAATTAGGCGGCAAGTTAAAAACCTGGCGGAAACGGTGGTTCGTGCTGAAAAACGGTGTGTTAACGTATTGGAAGAGTCAAAATGATGTCAACCGGAAACCTCAAGGCCAAATCATCTTGGACGAAGTGTGCAGGTAAGCGACATAAGATTAGTTCATGTAGATCATGTACAAATCGTGTAGGAAAAAAGGACAAATCGAACGTAACATAAAAAATTATTATCACAGGGATTCAAAAGTAGTTTAGTAAAGTATTGTATTATAATTGACATTACATTTGGTTTTCGTTTCTGTTGAAGAAACTGCAGTTTCATATTTTTATGTATCTTCCAGAATCAATAGAGCCGAAGGAGCCGCCACTTTCGAAATAGCCACAGGTAAGAAGACTTATTACTTGACCGCGGACTGTATCGCCACGATGGAAGACTGGATAAGAGTGCTGCAGAACGTGCAGAGGCGAAATGCAACAAAACTTCTGCTCAGTAGAGAAGATAATAAACCAACGATACAGGGTTGGTTGACGAAGGTGAAAAACGGCCACGCGAAGAAGTGTTGGTGCGTGCTCATCGGCAAGATGTTCCTTTACTTTAAGTGTCCCAGTGATACGGTGAGTATACATAATTAAACGTGACTACATACAAAATCCTTATTAGACGTATTCGCAGATACAATTGTACAACAAGCGAATTATTGCAATAAATTTATATAAACACTTATTAATTAATTTCAACGATCCCGTAAACATGGATGGCTCTGGCTATATTTTCAGTATTTGTTTATTGTGTGTAAGTTTATCTTAAAATTTTTAATACCTATAGCATATAAAATCATTAAAAATTGGAAACATGACAATAGCTATTTAAAATTTTAAGGTAAATTTGCACAGTATAAATAAATAGTGAAAAGGTGGCCAAAGCCACCCAAGTTTACAGTATTTAATATTAATATCATAATTAAATTAATTACTATTAAATTAATTTATTCATCTTTGAGAAACTCGCTGATTACTTTTATCTAGCGAATTTACTTGCTGAATAACAAGTAAATTCGCAAAGAATTGTGTGAATATTTTTTCTGAAAAGTATATCTGATATTCACATATTAAATATATTTAATTATTCTTTTAAATCATCAGAATCCTATCGGCCAAATCAATATGAGGGACGCTCGAGTGGAGGAGGTGGAACATGTTTCGGATAGCGACAGTGAGGAGAGAGACGCCGAGTGTCCACACGAGAGAACAATCGGCATCTTTCCGACGCATCAGGGTCCAACTTATCTGCTGATGCCACATAAGCAGGATAAGGACAACTGGCTCTACCATTTGACAGTGGTGTCGGGCGGTGGACCGAGCGCGGGCACGCAATATGAACAACTGGTGCAAAGACTAATGGAAACCGACGGTGATCCTAGTTGCGTGCTCTGGCGGCATCCTCTGCTGCTGCACACGAAAGAAAGCATCACGAGCCCGCTGACAAGCCTGACCTCTGAATCCCTGCAAACCGAAGCCATAAAACTCTTTAAGGTTGACACAACCCCTCGTCGATTCTTTCGCGATTGCTTTATTTGCGAATTCTTTACTTATGCCAAATTTTTTACATTTTTTTTATATGATAAAAATGACAATTCTAATTATTTTCAACGCTTTATTATAAAATCTTACAGTGCTTTCAGAACTATAGTTTAGTTTTTTAATCTTTTTCTTTTCAAAGCATCGATATGTTTGGTTTATTTTATGGGATTTGCAATTTTTGACTGAATTTTTACGTGAAAACAATCTTACTATTTTTATTATTAACATCGTTCTGTAATGAAATCCGTTCTTCTTAGCTATGTTTTCTATACCTTTCGATTTTTCTTTACATCGATAATATATATATGTACATATATTTATTTTATCTTAATGTATATTGCTAAAATAATCTGACACATCTCTAATCGTACAGGCTTGTCAGCTGTTTATGTCGGTGGCAGTAGAACAAGCAGGTATCGACTACCACGTCGTTCTAGCGCAAAATGCATTACAACAATGCCTAGACCAGCCTGAACTTCAATCTGAATTTATATGCGCACTGGTAAAGCAGACAAGTCGTCACACGCAACACCGTTTGGGCGTACAGGTAAAAAAGGCCGCCAGACTTGTGTCACTGGGTACTGCGCGCGTTGTAAGTCCTGCTTATTGTTTAACAAAAACAACATTCAACCATCCTGTACCATTTTTGAAGTTCAAGCGATACTCATCGATCGTCCATTCTTCTTTTCTTTAAACTTGAATAGACCTCATCTGTATCTCATACGTATCATTGAACTATTTTCAGTACCAATCATTCGAACGATATTTCTTTCAACGCGGAAAATGGTACACTGGGTATGCTTAGTCAAGTATTACAAATAATCCTTCCGGGCGTGGACACAGTAGTGGTTTAGCGGAAATGGTTCAACTAAAAATATAGCACTTGACAATATTTAACGACGGAAATACGCCGCTTGTCGCAGCCACGATACTTGACCAAGTTCAACGACTAATTTAGTTTTAACAATCATTCACACATTTAATTCTAATTTGCCGCTTTAAGTGTGCTGTCTTTTAGACTCTCACTCTATTTCAATCGCATGCATTGATAATTCTGTTAAGCATCACGATGGTGTTAAGTTTCATATTTACTTTTTATCATATACTTTAATATTTATACATCAAATTACCCTAACGCCCATGTGAGCCGAACATATTTCGACGATTGTCACGATATATCGATCGCGTCTGTTGAATCTTACATTTAATCAACGTTAAATCTGTACGTTACAAATATTTTTCTCTGAATGAGAGATCCGTCAAAATACGTTCCGCGCCACGCACACACACTTGCAGAATGGTATGTTGGTGTACATGAGGACACACACAGAAAGAAACATTTTTAAATTCTTTTTTCTAATTTTTCACACGAGTTCCTTTTTTTATAATAGCTGCAATATATATAGTTACTTGGATATTCTCTGTTTGAATGCTGCTTAGAGATTTAGATTCTTATCGCCGGTTTAGATTATTCTAACAAGTAAAATTTACAATCCTTTTTTAATCCATCCCTTCCCAGACAATACAAGCTTCTAAAAAATGTCACCAAGATGTTGTAAAGATATCTAAAAAGCGATTCAAATGTCGTTTACACAGCTTGTAGACAACTTTTAGTTCTTTCCCTCTTTTTCCTCTCTCTTATCCATTTCTCTCTCCTCTTCTCTCTCCTTGTCTATCCTTCTTCCTTACAATTTTATTGAAAAAAAGGAATCATAGTATGGACATATTGTTCCGAATTTTGCATCGCTAGACGCAAACTTGCGAAGAAAAAGCCTCAGTCGTCTCATGTAATGTCAACGAACGTAAACGCAACGCTTTACAGTTGGTACGGTAGATTCACGCGGCCTAAGAGCTTTTCTCATTGACACATTTTAATTTCCATGCAATTTTTTGAGGGTTTCTACCGAGTACGCGTTTTTTATTCGATTAACACGTAGAGTTGTGCGTTGAAATTTCGATTTCTCGTGCTTATCTACTAACTAACTACTACCGAAACATAATTAATTCAAGTTAAATCCTCTTCTTAGTCGTGTAAATTTTTTATAAGAAAGAGAGATCGACTTGTCGTGTGATAAGTCAGTTAATCGAAGGAAATCAATTGAGATTTATCTTCCACAATTACGAATTTCTAATTTTCGAGATTACGGGATAATTTGTAGATTCTTTTCTTTTGCTTTCTATTCCTTCTCGTTTATTTTACTACTATTATTAGATGAGCAGTTTTATTCTTTAAAACGAATTACTGAATCAAAAGTTAAAGTGACTTCTTTTCTACATTGTGCACTTAAATGATATCGTTACGTCTTATTCCACTATCTTATTCCACAAAATAATTGGAAAAAAATCGATCTTAGGAATTTGAAAAAATAAAAATGACTTTTTCAAGTTCTTAAAAAGATAAAATCACTGTTGCACCGACAATTTTATTTATCAAGACTATCTGTTTGAACACTTGTACGTAACACATGCGGCACTGATGCGATAAGAATGGCACGGGGTACAATAGAAAGGAATATAGAAAACCAAGAATCTTTAAATGTATCCTCGCATCTTCTCGAAGAGCAGAAATTCGATTTCGTAGTTAATTTTCCCTCGGTCTCTTTTTAACTTTTGACTTTGTTCGCAAAATGTACATATTCACGATCGAAACAGTATCTTTGCATACATATGGAGAATGAATATCCACGAAATGAAAGATTGAGAAAATTATAAAAATAGCTGAAAAAAACGAGTAAAATGGCATAATGCAAATATCGAGACGTTTCGTCACTCGTGTAAAACGTGTCGCGTTTACCCTTTGACGGTGAGAAGCAATAACTAGGATTGGCTGAGTATATATTATACCGGGACGTAGTAGTATGCCAGCATACCATTGCAGCAGCTCCTCCTCTGCGCCACGCAATCGCTCTTCACCTGCGATACGCAAAGTCCCGCGGCAAATGGCAGCGGTGAAAATGCGGACGCGCAATCAACGGCCTCGACTTCTCACAGTCCTCCGCTCACGCAGGGCCACTCGACCTCCACTATCTTGGACTGCAAAACTAATCCCGCGCAGTATGTGCTTATCCAGGGATGGCAGCTCCTGGCGCTCGCCGTTTCCCTCTTTCTGCCCAAGAACAATCGGCTACTATGGTACCTGAAACTGCACCTGCAGAGAAACGCCGACAGCAAGTGAGTGAGAGCCGAGGTCGAAGGGCGGATCAATCATTGCAGAGAGTAATGTGAAGAGAAAAGCTCTCTCAGATCAATGTAGAGGGAAGGAAGAGAAGTCTCCTTTAGGAAGAACGGTTTCTAGCAATTGCTACTCGTTAGGTATACAAGATAAACGTGAAAATAGATTTCAAAGTCCACTTTGGAATTTTAACGAGAAATTTTTAGGCGGTGCCTTTCAATGAAAATATTAAATCTTTAGAAATAAGATTGAGCTTGTAAGACTCATTGATTTCGATTTCTCTTTCGCAAGTATAGGTAAAGATTTCGTTTTGATCCTTCGAATTAGTTTAGCTCAAATCTGAGAATTTGAAACCTTTTTCGTGTACGTCGCTGAAGCTATTTCGGTCTTGTAATCCGTCGCTTGATGAACGAAATCTATTTTAATCGATTTAACGAGTTGAATGAAAAGTTACAGAAACACATCTTTTCTGCAATGACAGTTCCGACTCTGATTTTTGTTAGCATTGGTTTGTCTTGCATCACATTGCGTTGTATTGTACCAGAACGGAATGTGGCAAGTATGCGGCTTATTGCGAGAGAGCCTTGGAGAGAACGTTGCAGAATGGTGGTAGAGAGGTGAAGCCGTCGAGGATGGAAGTATTATCGATACTAATGAAGAATCCGTACCATCATTCATTGCCGCACGCCATACCAGTTCACTTTCTGAACGGCACCTATCAGGTCGTGAGCTTCGACGGTAGTACTACGATAGAGGAATTTCTGAACACCCTGAACCAAGAGATTGGCTGTAGGGACATTCATCAGTCCGGCTTCACGCTATTCAGCGATGACCCGATTGAAAAGGAACTCGAGCATTTCATCGATCCAGAAGCGAAGGTTCGTGAAAGTTGAAGTTGCGCGAAATTCCCTGTTCGCACTAAATTACTCGTGTCATTCGAGACTTTTCACATAAAGAAGATGCCAAATTACTAATATTAAAAATACATATTAATGTAATTAATAGAATTTTTTAAATAGAATGAAACTTTGTATGGACTTGAATCTTCAAAACTTAGTACGAAATGTGTTTTAGCTGTGCGACATAATCTCAAAGTGGGAGACAGCGTTACGAGAGAAGGGCTCGGGAAAATTCGAAAATACTAGAGTGATACAATTAACATACAAATCTCGTTGCTACTGGCGGCAAGCTGCTAAAATGGAAACAGACAAGGAGAGACTCTTGCTGTGTTATCAAGTGAATCAACAAGTTGTGCAAGGAAAGTTCCCATTAAATCGTGAACTCGCTTTTGAACTGGCATCGTTGATGGCACAGGTATGATTCGTATGCGTTAGATACATAGCACGTGGTTTGTATATATTTTAATCGTAGATATGTTTTATCGTGTTAATTATAGTAAAGAATGATATAGTAAAGAACTTAATTCATTATTTTATATAATTGTCTAATCAATTTCATAGATCGATTTTGGAGAATACAACAACGATAAAGCACGTGGCAGCGGCCCCGGAAGCAATCCGCATCATCTCGTACTTCAAGCTCTGGACAAATTTTATCCAATACGCTATCGAGCCAACATTACTGCCGATCAGTTGAGGTAAATTGATCGATAATTCAATATCGAAAGAATATTTATATAAATATTACATATACCGTATACTTTTCCTCGCTGATTCATAAATCATTTTGATTCCGACAGGGAATTGCAAGAGAAATTACAAGAAAAGTGGATCGCTTTAAAAGGACGTAGCGTATTAGATTGCGTTCGTATATATCTCACATGCACCAGAAAGTGGCCTTTCTTCGGAGCTACCTTGTATCAAGCAAAGGTATAATGATACAACTGTTACAAATATTTTATAAGTAAGGACAAGATAAATGTATCATAATGGATGCTAATTGTGATTATGCAGGGTGTCCATAAAGTCCATTTGAAATTTTTAAGTTGCAGGCAACTCTTCTTAAAAGAGTAGCTTCTTGAAATGATCGAACGCGTTTTTCAAAATTTTCGAACCATAATATAGGACGAGGGTACAGACTTTATGGACACTGTATACGCGTGTGGTTTCATTTTACTTAAAAATAATTTTATTTAGCTGAAGCAAACCGAACCTGTAACGGTCTGGATAGCGGTGTCCGAGGACAGTGTAACGTTGCTTGAATTACAAACAATGGCTGTCATGTGCCGGTATAATTATGCGAACATAATAACGTTCGGTGGCTGTTTGGATGATTTCATGCTCGTCGCTTGCCCGGACGAGGGTGCGGCCGAGCAGAAATTGCTCTTTGCACTCTCTAAACCCAAAGTGCGTATAGTTATAACGTCGTGGAATTAGAAAAATATTTATTTCATCCATTGGCATCGTAACGTTTTTTCAGATATTGGAGATAACGTTATTAATCGCCGATTATATGAATGCGCTGGGCCATGCATTACCGGGCACTCCACAAATGAATACTTTAACGCGCAATGGATCACACCGGTCCATCAAATCCACCCTGAGACCTGCGACTGGTCGGTGAAAGAGAGATTTATTTTCTCGCTAAACGTACAAAATTATAATTGTACAGGATTGACAGATATGTCAAAAAACTGATAAATAAGAAACAAAATTACTGTGAATATTGATCCAAAATAGCTCCTTTTGATTAATGACTAGTTCTTGTGTCATAAATGTTGATTGAATTTTTCTCAGAATTAATTTCTTTGATAGACAAGCAACAAAAAGTTTAAGTTAAAAGTTAAAAATGATAAGTCTTTAATTGTTTTTTGTTCAATAAAACAGCAATTAGTTAATTCTAACCAATGTTTTATTGGACTAGTATTTAATGAATTATATTTTTGCAGGTTCAAGCTGTCTTCCAACTCAACCTGATATATTGAAATCGACGCCAGATCACCAAAGACCTTAATAAAAAGGCTGGTCGCGTTAATTTTTCGAAAAGATAACTGGATATATTTCTTGGATGCGCGCGGAGATCTGATTATGATGCATATTTTTCTTTTGTTTGTATCACATAAAGGCAGCGTAACAGTGCAGTATTAGTGTCGTACACTGCGATGTGCGATGCATCGTGTTTCTTTTTCTACAAAACGCGCAGTCACAAACACGTTCGAATCATGTTTACGTTTACATCGTATGTGCACGTAAATTAGTATCGACGCTTATAACAACGTATCTGTGTAAATACTTAACGATAAGCGCAAGAACTAATCACGAACGATCGTGCTGGTGGTCTAGAGGGCGGCTGAAATCGAACCGAATCGATCTGTAACACTGCCTAATTAGTATGCGCGATTACACATCGAATAGTTTCATCTTGCGGCTACGTATCATGCTGAGACTTTTGCTACGTATTTATATATCAAATTAAGAACACACCAGAAACGAAAAGAACGCGTAAAATATTGCGTAATAGTGATGTATTCACTCCGTGTCGTGTATTATATATTAATCAAAGTTATTAAATGTTTAGGAGTATATCTCGAATGATACAGCGATGCGTTCTTTCCCGTTTTTCGATATCGAACGGAATACCTCCATGCCTACGCATGTTGTCGCTATGTCATGTGAACCATAACACAACTGTCTCTAATTCTATCCAGATCTTTGTCGGACGAAAAATCAATCGCTTGAATTTATTTTAGATTTATTAAAAGAAATTAATTCTTGTTGCACAGATTTAAATTTAATGAAAATTCAAAATCTAGATTTAATACAGATCTGAGCCGTGCGGGAGAATTTAAATTTAATTTAAATAATAAGTTTTATAACTTGAATTTATTTGAAATTAAATTCAACTTTGTGATATATTCAAACAAAAAAGGAGGAGAGGAAAGATGAAGGTAATTTTCTCTTAACATTACAGGATACATCACAGGACAGTAAATCGATCTTATAAACGGAACTATGTCACATCCCGTCTATTGACAAAAAAGAGAAAGACTGACTATACTTCTTTCTTCTTCGAACGTCTATTTTCCTTTTTGTGTGAGGCTACTTGTGAGATCGATCAACAAAGGAAAATCTGATATACTCATATTAACTTTGATAACAGCTAGTCTCGTATCTGATATTTATTTAAGGTGTAAGTGCTACACGGTTTCTTTCTCTTTTTTTTTACAGGTACACGACCAAATAGATGTAATTGGGAACGTAATTTATATATAAATATACTATTTAATATAATTAACATTGCGTTCCTACGCGTAATACGTGTGCAACACTGTGTATTAAAACATACGATTTTAGCGTTGTCTATATATATACATATTTATATATATATAGAAAACGAGAGAATGAAAGAATGAAAAAGAAAGAGAGAGAGAGAGTCAGACAAAAAGAAGTTTTGTACTCGCGTTCGACGTGTCCTACGTAACTAGTAAACGTCTTCCTTCTAGCAGTTACAAAATATGAGCTGAAAGTAGGGCTTTCGTGCAATACGTACAAGACTTCTACGGTTTTGTAATTTTCGAGACTACTATGCGCCTGTCCCGAGCAGAATAGCGAATCTCGACTTTTAAAGGATCTCTGCGCAAGGTGTCTGGAGAACGTCTAAAGTCTCAGACGTCTTCGCGAACTCCTTTAAATGTCTGAAAATGTGGACGGACTATAGGCGCGCATATACTCGGCTTCATTTAGGCACATTGTGAATGTTTGTACGAATAATTCGAACCTCAGACTATTGAGAGCAGTACAAAGAGATGCAAGAATGACATTTTGTCCTTAATTTTTTATATATCGAAGCGGTATCGAATGCTGTTGCGTGGGTGACTAGCACCCGTGTATCATGACGTAGTTGAAGGAATCGTACGCGTATTACACTCACCTATTCGTGTAAATATCATGAGGACGGACATGCGTTTCTAAAAAGTTAGAGTAGAATCAAAATAGGCAGCTAGCAGTTTACACAATCGAGCTCTATCTGAATCGCGTTCTACCGAGCCTATCTCACATCTTACATTTATATTTATTATTTATTCGTATGAAAAAGGTACGAGCGAGATGAGTGGAAAACATTGTGTACTATTGTACAGAGGAACAAATAAACTGCACATTAATACAATCTTACAGATGCCGATAGGCTATCGAACTATTTTATCATCTCATTTGTGAGAGACGGAGCACGCTAATAAGAACCGTCGAAAGGTATGCGGTATTCTATGACAAATATAAGAAGTCGCTACAGACAAGATTTAGTATTTTTAACATATATTATACACGCATTATATATATATATATATATATATATATATATATATCCTTATGACAATTTTGTACAGATAATTTGAATATAATTTATTTTTTTCAGTTTCTTGTTCAATGCGAGAAACTCGATGCTTCAATCCACCTCTTCCGGTCTCACAGGATGTGTTAGCGGAATCATAGATTTCTTTTTCACGTCCTTCGACAGAGCTTTTCTCATATCTGAAAATAGGATAATGTTCCTTATATCTCTCACGCAAATGATTTACCATTTTAGATTCTCAAGGAGGCTTTACCATATGCATTTTCGTCTGGGTCCCCGTTGTAATATTCCAATACTGTCCTGTACACAATATATCCCAATTGTTGATACATTGTAATAGCCACCTTGTTGCTCACCCTGACGAAGAGGTCCACGAAATACGCTTGTTTCCTGATTGAAACAAAAATACATGTAACGAGAGGTAAGTCTCGGTAAGCCGTGGCAGTTAATAAAATTATAGTTCACTTTTCCGAGACGTCCTCAAGATACTTCATCAACATCGCGGCAAGACCCAGCCTTCTGTAGTCCGGAGAGACTGTGAGGGCCGTTACATGACCATGCCAATTTTCCCCGTGACCCTCGGCTTTTCCCATAACTTTAACAGTTTCAAATAATAATAACGTTAGCGTTAAATAATGAAAACTCGCGCTTTACTCGCAAGAAATAGACTTACTGTAACCCATGATTTCGCCGCTCGGAGACTCTGCCACTTGAATGTACTCCGGCCAGTGTGAAAGATAATGCATGTAAAACGAAAGCCCGTACTAGGGTGGAAATGTGACAAATCAAGGATCGCTTTAGTCTCTTATTGGACAATGAATACTCTCTTTATTATGAATAAAATTCTTTCATAAATTATACATTACGAACGAAATAACTAAATATTTAGAATGAAGTATTTTCTCAAGACTCATTAGCTTCATTTACCAACTTTTCTATCATGATTAAACTGACTTAATAAGCCTGTGAAAAGTCACGCAATAACGCATTATTATTAATTGTCGATTAGGTAAAAGGATACCGTTTCCGTGAGTGGATCCAAATTCCTGAAAATGACAAACATAATCGTAACACTCGGCAGTAATCAGCAACGGTCGTTGGACTGAATTTTTAGGTTAAGAGAGGGAGACTCGTTTGAAAATTACTTACACATTGTTGAATTTGAACAAGTCGTTGCACGTGAAGGGCCTGAGTGTCGTCATTTTTTACAGTTGTATAAAAACTGGTTTGTTTTAGTCACTCGCGAGTGGAATTTAGCTGGAACGGATCAGACGGTGGAGAGAACGATCGCGCGTTCGACAACAAGCGGTGTTACAGTAGGCGCCAAATGCGCCTTCACGCCCAGCTGTTCAAGCGGTGTGCGTCCACTATCCGGCGCGAAACATCTCGATAATTGAAACGCGGTATTAAAATCCTTGAAGAATTACTAATTATTAGAATTCATTTCGATAGAAGGTAACGAGAGTTGGAACACATGTCTTAAGAAAGTCGCGAAAAAGTATCAAAGTTATTAGAATACGTTTTTGTATAAATTAGCGAGAATCGGAGTATGCGTTTTTCGAGATTTTCAAAAAGTTATTAATTATCGACAGAATTTATCTGGACAGTGAAAATTAGAAAGCGCGCCTTGCAAATGACAGAAAATTACCAAACTAGAATTTATTCTGATAGAAAAACCGAGATTTGCATCTTTTGCGATTTTCCAGAAATCATTGTTAGGAATATACGAAGGGGAAACCGCTGAGGGCATTGTGGTGTACAGATTTGCGACATTACTGGGCATTACTATTCCTTATACTTCTTGACAAACGTGTCAATTTTTTTGTACCTTTGTCACTTTTATATTCTGTAACTCTGTTTTTGACACGCGATAATTTTAGTCTTCAGATTTCGACTGGTCGACACTTGTCTGACTTTAGAATGCAATCAAGACGCTTTTCACTCGAAAAGAACCGGAATTCTCGGTCGAAACGTTGTGTATTTCCCGAAATAAAGTATTGCCAGGTACGTCGAATAATTTTGCCAGTTACGTTTTTATTTCAACTAATCACTGGCGAAGAACAGTTCTCAGTATAGAACACATATCCTTATCATGTTATTAAAATCATTAGAATGTATCTCGAAAAGAGGTTTCTCGAATCAAAATTTCTAAGAAGAGAATTAAAATTCCGGTTGCACACATAGTTTCGTTGCTTCTTCAGTATCAGACACTAGACTAACTCTATCAGCAGCTTCCGTGCAAGGTAGAGGGAACAAGTAACAAATGCTCGTTTGTGTCTAGAAAAAGATTTATGTCCGTTCTCATTTCAGGTAGAGTATAATAATTACAATACATAAATGCGAGATACTTGGCTTCTTATTTTTACGTGTTATTTACATCGTTACACGAGATTGGATTGCATATACCTTAATGCGCGGCCGAAGCACCGACGAACGTGCGCAGTCTCAGAGGAGACGAAAACACTTATTCAGTTTAGAGAGAGAGAAAAAATAGCTTTACTGGTTAGAGTTCAGAACTTCTGCGCTACTTCTCCTTGCGCTGCGACGTCAGGCTGTCATGCATGCCCATCACCACGGCCTCTATCAATTCCGGTATCACCACACCGTTAACGTCGATGAAATTCGCGACAGATTTGGTTACACTTATCTCATTAAAGACCCCCATCGACGCGCTCCTGACTGACAACACCAAATTGTACTTGTCGTCATACTTTTTCAAATAGGAACTCGCCTCCCAAATCATGTCGGGATTGAAACCTGCCGGGTCTCTGAAAACAAAAGAGATTATGATATCTAGTGCAATTCCACAGATCCATATTTCCGTTATACATTCGGCATTAAATATGACTGCTTGATTCTTCCCCTTGTAAGCTTAAAGCTTGCGTTCGTTTTCTCCCACTGGTAGCATAAACTATACTGAAACTCTATAGTTTACGTTACGTGAATGATAGATTTTTAGTATAAAAGATGAGCAAAAGGGAGCAGAGTAAAAACAATATGGCTCAAATAAGAGCATTAAGCAGATATGAAAATAAGAGGATAAATTGATTATGTATCGGAGAAAAATTCACCTTTGAACCGCAACTACAAATATGCCTTTCTCTTTGTAGGTCGTATACAGAGTCAAGAGTCCCATTAGAAGAAAGTAGAAGGAGACGCAGGCTATTAAAACAGGCTTGGACGCAGGGAACGGATACAAGTAATCGCACAACAACGCCACGATGGCTATCGTGACAGCGACCCCGCAGAGGAAGAGTCTCCCGTCGAGGAGAGCAAAATTTTCTATGTAGCTGTATTTCTTGGTGAGTACATCCTTGACCGCGTCGTCCAAGGCATTTTTCACGGCTGAGCCGTCCCACTTATTGATCTTGATGATCTGTAAAAGTTGAAACGCCTATCTTAACTCTATTTCGGCAAAGAGAAAGCATCTCTTACATAAAAACAAATTGCGAGAGGTTGCATCGCAAAAGAAATATTGTAAGATTGTGCAAAGACGCGTCAAAAAGTTTTAATCACAATACACATCTCGCTCAGACTGAAAACGTCCACTCTCGTTGCAGTTACAAAAATCGCGAGTGAACGTACAACTTACTTCTTTTTGCGGCGCATTTGAAATGCACCGTAAAAAGAAATAACTGTACAGCTAAGGAAAGAGACTCCCGTTGGAGTGCGAGCCGTCGTTCGCGGTACCATACGTGGCAACACAAGCGACCGTATTGTCGACGAGAAGCGAATGTCGTGCGATCCGGCGCGACGATGATCCTCGCCGCGATGCGCGCGTCCGCCCGCGAAATGGTATTTCGGCGTTGAGCGAGAACGATCTCGATTAGTGAGTGAGAAACATACGGAATTCTCCGCTGCGCCCATCGCGACCATAACCTCTCGACAAGATACACGTCGCGTCTCCTCGGGACACACGAACGAATGATCGTGCTTGCCGCTTGATACCGTCGAGCGCTATCAGCGACCATAACCTCGAAATCGCTGTCGGCACTGTCGGCAACGCACTCGCGTTCGACATTTCAAATTGCTATCCTGCGTGAAATATTGACCGCCGTAGGGTTGGCAGACAAATTGAATATTTTTGAATTTTTCTTCCTTATATAATTTGGGGAATCATTCGGGGAAATTTAGCAAAAATTATTTAAACGTTTGGGGAATATATTTTTTGTTAATAACAAATTTTTGTTGAACGTCAAGTTTAGCAGATAGCGACTGTGTTTAATGTTTACTGTGAATGGAATCTATTTGAAATCATTTGGGGATGACATCTTCATTGTAATTATTATTTGGGAAAAGTGCTTTTTTTTGTAGTTTTAACAGATCTTTGTATCAAAAACAAAAGTAAAAAATGCATTTAGGTCTCTCACGAACCTTCATATTATTTATACTGTGAAACGGTTTCTTCGCATTAAAAGTACATTATATAAAATTCATTATTCTGATAATAATCATAATTGTCTGATAATAATTATTATTATCGCAACAAAACGATAGTTTTAAATATTTGCCAAGAGACGGAGGTGTGGAGATCATTATTGTTTAATGATAAAAATGTTCATTATTTCGATAATGAATTTTGTCAATTTGTCAACTTTTACATCGCACACAATTTCACGAGTTTTACAGCCTGATCCACAATGTGCTTTCCTGCATCTAGAAACATTCTACTTAATATAAGCAAATCAAAACGCTTAAAAAATTTGTCAACTTGCACAAATTTTTTAGACGCATTTATTGACTACAAAATAGAATGTTTCTAGACACGGAGAGCACATTATAGATTAGGCTGCAACGTCTAACGACAATCAAAGCCGAGATAATGCATCGATCCAACGTATTTATTTTACACATTGTTTCATGACGTAGCATACATTTACACGTAAAAAAACACGCAATGCATAAGGACGCACGTATTGCAGCATATAATTACATCCGATATTATGCGTACATATATTTTCAAATCCCAAGCAGTCCTTTTAATAAACGTACTGTTTTGCCAACGCCCTCAAAAATTTAGCTTTGCGAATATTGGCCGCTTCTCTTTGGATCTCTTCGTTGTTGTTGGAGTTCAATTCCAGCAAACCGATGACTTTGATCTGTAAAGTGAAATTCTCGTAGAGAATTACAGCGAGGCAAAGAAATCTGGTCGTGTGAAATTCAATTATCTAAGGCAATTGTTCGGTCGTTATTCATATAATTACGTCACTATTGGTAACTTGATTCAGTTTAGTTATTTACCGCGAGTTGCTTTCTGTGATGCTCCCCGCGCTTCGTGTGCAATTGTATGAGATACTCGAGTATCGTCGAGTCCCAAATGCAATGATAATACGCGTCCATAGCATCAGCCGCGGCGCAGCTCTTTTGATCGCTGGATGCCATTTTAAACGCGAGGGAATAATCCACCTCCTCCAAAAATTGACACAGCACAGCCGCCTGAGTGTAGCACTGCAAGTGAGCGCAACACTTGATCATCCTTCTGTAAACTAGATCGTCTATCTGCGTGCGTGGTGTGGGCTGACTGAACAAATCGCTGGCTATCATAATTGCCTCCAAATAGTATCTCATTGCACTCTCGTAATATGCTAGAACTAGAATAAGGAAAGACCGCAGATGGTATTATACGTACAAGTGCATATAAAACAGTATTGTGTAACAATATTTGATACTTTGGCGAGACGAAACGTACCAAAATTGAGGTCACCCATTAGCCTGAGCCACGGCACATTGCAGGGATAATATTTTAACGCTTGCGTCAACAGCTGGAACAACAGTTCTCCAATGTGTCTGATGTTATACGAATTTGCACTGTAAACGTTAATTTCTGTAATTACTAAGACGTTAAAAGACACCGCTGACTTCCGAAATAGTGAAAGAGTCAGTAATATTCAAATGCGATATTGTTGGAATATGTTAATACGATGAACGTACTTTGGCACTCCGGCGGGCCAAAGGGATAGATACTGCGTGTGTAATTCCAAACTGGACTCGTCGCGCAAGACATTGCGCAAACGAGCCAATAACGATATCACCACAGTGAGGACCATCGGTTCCCGTAGTCGAGTAAGCGTATGGGCGATACTAGTGGCAACGTCTCTTGACGCGCCAGAACCACCGCTGTTGCTGCCGCTACTGCTGCGTTTTTGTGACTGATCCCTGACGGGGCCGAATGCTGCTAAAACTAAGAGAGAACACATGATTTTACTCGATAAAACTCTTATTTTTGCTGTTTACCTTTTACTTTTTAGTATAAAATACGCAGAATTAGATTATTTGCGAAACTTTGAAGGAAAATCATATTCATAGAAAGTTTTAAAGCTCAAGGGACAAATTTTTAACAAAATTCTATATGATTTTAACTAAAAAAAAAACATACTCATATCCCATGCGTCTCGCGGAAATTTGCGGGTCCCTTTGTACTTGACGATGTCCTGGCAAACGCTGCTAATGGCAGCAGCAAATTCAGTGCAATTCCAGCGTTTCTCTAAGCTAGTGAGATAATCCCATTCAGCCATATTTAGGAGGAAGACCGTACAGTATTCTATTATTTCTTGTCGCGGAATCAGCTGATCGGATGCTTGTAACACACCAAGGCACTGTTTACTGCGTACAACCATACTCTGCACATCGCCTGAAAGTATTGTACTCGTTTACTATTACACATTCCTCGTTCCTTTTACAGGCGTTTATAATTTTTCGCGTACAGTTGTTTGTCACCGGCCAAGCCTGGAAACAGTTCCATATCTCAACGAGCAGGCATTCCCAGTTCACTAATTTGCACAGCTTGAAGATTAACGATCCTCCGCTCTTCCCATGTTCCTGTAACTCCTTATCCAATATCTTGAGCAGTTCGATGGCACCGTCGAAGTTTTTGGAAGTCACCAATTCTCGACTCTTCGCGAGCAGGACGTACGAATAATCCTGGATAAATCCCCTGGGGAGCGACATCACCACGCTTTGCAATGGAATGGGCAACTCCCAACAGCCATTTACATGATACAACGGTTTCATTCGATGTTTTCCGTCCAGATGGATCAACGTTTCACGGATTACATGAGGATTGTACGACTCTATCAGCTTCTGTTCCAATTCGAACACTTCGATCCTAGAGTTTTCTAGAAATTTTAGCGAACAGCAAATTTTCAGTCACCGTGAAAGATTGTGAAATTTAATCTTGCTAATATCTCTAATGACATTCTCTTTGCTTTTTTTCAGAGCTTATACTTACGTATATATGGTACGGATGGGATACCCCAATCGTTATGCAGCAACAAGTTTGGTAATTCTATCTCGCCAGAAGTGGCCGCTTCTTGAAGAGTACTGAGTTCCGCTTCATCGAATAACGATGTGTAAGAAGGATTGTTGAATACCTTTGAAGCAAGCCCTTCTATATTAGCAGTGTTTATAAGATAAAGAAGGTAACGTGAAATTCGTTTTTTATCCGTAGTCGTTGCTTTTTCCAAGACGTTATCTAAAGCCTGGTACATAGGAAAATGTCATTAATAATAATTATATAATTCGTTATTTAATAATTTAGGAAAGCTATTTTATTAAAAATTATATCAACAGCTAATATTAGTTAATGTATATTCAAAAAAGTTAGGGAAAGTCATTTTACAGAATAATAGCAAACTAGAAAATTTTATTTTCAATTATTTAAAAATTAAGAGAAATGATTTTACCCCACGATCAAAGAATTTCATTGAGAAACGCGTAAAAAAAAGAATAAAAGTTATTTTTACCCAGAACAAAACTTCCAGGCCTTTCATACCAGCTGCCTTAATTTCAGTTACATAATCACCCAAGATTATACTGTCGTCGAGGATCTTTCTAACCAGATTCAAGCACTCTATTTGCAGCAGAAGATCCCGGGCGACCACGAATTTCCTGTTAACCAACCCACCTTGCACATCCAGCTCCAAATTATCTCTATAAACCTGTGGTATCTCCCTGAAAACATTGTCTGCTTGCAAAATCTGCAATATATTCTGCAGATTTTGCGTGTATCGTGAATATATAACATTCGAAAGTATGTACGTGTGGTAAATGCATAAAAGTATACCCACAGTGTATTGATCTTTGATAGAGGTGTGCAAACGTTGCGTAAGACTAGGCGTGACTTCCTCCAGCGGCACCTCGCACGCCAAACAACAGCCGTCCAAGAACTCCTTTTGCATCTTACAATACGTCAATTTTTCTGCCGCATTAAAATTACTGTACAGCTCTTTCGCTTGTTTAATGTGCTGTTTGGCGTCTTGATACTCCTCCCTCAGCAAGTGAAACATGGCGAGATCGTAATGTATCTAAGAAGCAAATCAGCTTTCCAGTATACTCTGTCAACTCTCCAATGAGGATAATAATATCCAGCTTCTCGTACCTGGCATTTCAACTCGTCTATGTTCACCAGGTACATATTTTCCCAATTCTGCTTGATCTCCGTACTGTCTTCGGTCGGTATTTGGAAAGTATCGAAAGACAGAACCTTTGGCTTTATGTCGGACATTTGTAAAATACTGTTGAGGGCATTTACACTGCTTGGTATGTGCGCTTCTAATTTCCTAATAATATCATCCACTATACCCGGTGGTACGTACGTCGATTCCTGAGTACCGGGTCTAATAAAGTAAAATCGTGTCAAGGTACTGTAATATACATTCGCGCTACAAATGTAAAACTCACATGTGAAGTAACTGTTGTTTTGGCTGTTTATTGCTGAGCGCCCTACAAATAATCGCTCTTAGATGCCACCTGTGATATAAAACCAGAGTGAACAGGAGCTGATCGGAAGCTGTTTCCATGAAGAATTCCGGAATTGTAGGAATTTCCAACACGACATCTGCGGCGATGTAAAATAGATCTTGCAGCAACGTCAACTGTATCGGCAGAGGTAGCTTCTTCTCTAGCACGTCCAAGTCCCATTTAAGGTAAGCCGCTACTTTCAGAGAAAGTATCTTCAACGCCAAGTTTCTGTGTGACCATTTGTTTGTGCCGTTGGGTTTTACGTCGGTAGACTCCGCATCAATCGCTTTCGGCTCGGTCTCTTTTTGATCATTATTAATCGTCATAAATTTTATTATCAGGTCCGTCGGCGATGGATCTGAAATTACAGGGTTTAAGAAGTTTTCGTTTAATGTAAAATTAATATTACTCGCTCAACACTGCGCGAATGAATAACAAAAAGTTTCATCAAACGTATAAAATACACCATTTATTATTCAACATTTCTTAACTCTTTCATGACTAAATTATTATTTCTTGATGTGTTTGTTCAGTAACAGAATGCATAACGAGTCATTGAGTCTTTAAATTTTGTACGTGAAACTTACATGCTCCAATGGTCACGAAAGGGTTAATGTTAGAAATATTCATGTTATTCTAATTAGTAATAATAGGCGCGGCTAATATTATTCCTGGAATAATTGGATTTCATGCGGCATTACGTGCTACAGTTGCTCACCCGGGAAAGGTTTTGACAGGTGTTTCTGGAGCAACGAGGGATTCAATAAAAACTCAAACCACAGTATCGTGTCAGGCGAGATTGGCACGGTGCCCGGTCTCAGAAGATCCACATCCATAATACGCCGATATTGTCATTAATGTATTTGCAATTAATTAATTTAGCGTTGTATCAATAACGTTCGTGATTTGTCGCGCAAACATAACAACTCGAGGCACGGATCAAGGAGAATGTGTGAAGGGTGTGAAGGAAGATTGTGCGGTGCGCACTCTGTCTTCTTCCTCCCGAAGCTACAAACTCGATGCTCATTGGTTTAGGGCCATCGCACACAAAATTGCATATAGCTGCATGTGCATAGCATGAAAGCCGTTTAAACCAATGAACATCGAGCATTGAGTCGCCATATTGATTTACATAACATGCTCATTGGTCCAGACGGTCTTGTGCTATGCATATGCAACTATGCAATTTTGTGTGCGATGGCTATAAAGGCGTCGCAAGATGCCGTGTGTCAGTCTACATTGGTAGTCTCTCTTGTATGTACAATGTTCCAAAATTCACTGCCAGCTCTAAAATCTACTGTATACGTTTATTATGTGTAGATCTTTAGCGCTGGTAATGAATTTTGGAACACGGCCGTTATATGGGGTTTTGATTCTCGAACTCGCGTGAAATTGTTTGCATATGCAATGGACCATGTTCTGCGTAGTGATTGTTCAAACGCTAGTCGCGATATTCAATGCAATTTACGTGATCGTAAGTCTCGGAGATTTTATGTAAAAGTAATTTAACTTTTAACTTAAAAATTTCTTCTTATTACTAACTTAATTTTCGATTCAATTAATTGTATTATGGATTAACTTGTGTCTTAACTAGGTTAAATTTAATTCAACTTATCCAACCCTGGTTTATCAAACTTTTACCATAGGAGATGAATTACCGAACGCAACTGCGTAGCCAAACCTGGGAAAAATGGAAACAATCTCGTTATATGTGTCTCAATCATATAATATCTAATTGTATCTCGAGAAATATAAGGAGACATTACATGATTGAGACGCATATAACGAGATTGTTTCCTTTTTTTCCGGTTGCGGTCGGTAATTCATCTCCTGTAGTAAAAGGTTGGTACATCCATGTTAATATTCAGCCTGTATGTATGTATAATACGTATATCATACCACATTGATACCGATTCTGCATTTGTGGACTTACCACGGATATGAACCAAGAACTTAGCGTTTTATCATCTCGAAAAATGTGGCTATGTAGTTCCTACGTCCTGGATAACATGGATGTGCCGTTGCGAATCAGTACTATTTCAGAGAATTTACTGACCTCTCACACAATCAATCTTCTCTCACCGCAGTAACATCCCTGATGTTCAAAACCGCGCTCTCTTCAAACGTATAAATTGTATATGTCGCAGTATATAGGAAGGAAGAGAAAGAAAAAGAGCGATTTAAAGCTCTAATATATTAAAATTAAGAGCGATAGTATTCTTCAAGAGCATTTTTGAATCAATGCTGAGATCAATTATTATTTTGAGTTTTAGCTACAGTTACAGTAAACACCAACAGTTACATAACTTTAACATTATAATTTTCTACTCAACAATGTAACTGTACAATATGCAGTGTGATATTACATTTATATTGTTGAATGAGAAATTATAATGTTGATGTTATGCAACTGTTGGTGCTTACTGGGATCAGTCTAATAATTCTCTATTATATAATCGATTAAATCAATATAACGTACTTTGAAATGTAATATTTTTATATACAGCATAACGTTCATCTTATCTTCTATCAGCCAAAGTAATGAGAAGCCCGGGTCGAACGTGATATAATTAAATAATGAAGCAATTAAAACAGCTGCTTTCCAGAAATTAACAAGAAACATTTATGTGAAAAAATATTGAATTCGTAAAGTTTCTATTACACGTTTATAACATTACATAATACTTCACTATAGATTGTCACCTTTGTTTCGCGTGTTACATTTCGAGCTGTATTCAATTTATTATTATAATTTGTAGTTATGTGTTTTCTCCACTAAAACACGGGCTGTCCGTGTGCAATTATCTGGGCCGCTTTATCGAAGTTATCAAATATCATTACATATATAGATAGTGTCGAATTAAGATAATGATAAGAAGCGTCCCAAGTTATTCCTCGTCCCAACAAGTATTTTGCAAATTTTGCTATGTAATTGCCCGCGGTGTCTTATCGATCTAATTTATCCCCCCCGCCCCTTACTAGCTGGGCGCATATTATTGGCTATTGCTTTCTATGATCGCCGATAATCATTTATCGCCGTAACGAGCCTACAGGCATTCCGCGAATATCCGCGGAGATGCGCCCGCGCAAACGCGCGCGTGTACGCACACAAATATACATATTTCATATATATTTGGTCCATTGGCCGTTTCCGCCGCGTGCGACAAAGGTCGGCTAACCGGTAGTGCCGGTCGACTAATTTTCGGCACCCCGGTCCAAGTGTCCGGAGAGAGAATTGCCGAGTCTCAATTCCCGCGATTTAATTACCTCATTGAGGAACTCGAATGTACACGGGGAGAATTTTCCCCTAAAATGCATCCTGCAAATCATGTAATTGCGGGACACCTTGGCATTTCGAGAATTTTATGAGATAGTTTTTTTTTAATTTACTTACATTTGCTTACTTTTACTTACTTACATTTTACATTTACTTTTAAAATATAGGAAAATTTCAAGAAACTCATAAAATTCTTTGAAATGCCATGTTTCACGATTGCCTGATTTTCAGGTAAATTTTAAAAGAAAACTCTTCGCGCACGATTAACTATCGCACGTCCCGTGGACGCGTGTCCGTGAAGATTCGTGAAACAATTCGCTTGCAAATTCTTTCATTACACATTAATTCCACTGAATAGTGGCGGGGAAAATAGGGACGGGTACGCGAGATAAATCCGTCGCGTTCCTCTCAATTTCTATAAACACTGCCTGATTAATTTTCTAGATCGCCGCGCGAACGAATTTTGTTGCGCAAACGCACGCGCGCGTTTCCGGCGCGTTAAAACTTCTCCGGTCCGTCGCGGCAAGTGTTTTCGAAATTCCGCGCGCGTCCGACGTTTTAAATCCGAGTGTCCGCGTCTTCTCTCGCGCGTCCGTTCCGAGGGGGTTACATCCTCCGGACGGCCCTGCCGGCGATGGCACCCTCTCCCCCCCCCTCTCTCTCATTCCGCGCCGAGTGGCGTGTGTGTTCACGCCGACGACCCCCACCGCCGCTACCACCGCCACCGACCTCGAGATAGCCGAGGAACAGCCGCCGCTCCGAAGCAAACGACGCCGCACTCTACGTTCGGTCGTTCGTGAATCCGGAGAGTGCTCGTTTCTCCGCTCCGATCTTGGTCGGCGTGCATTTGTGCCCTGCGAGTTTTCACACACGACAATCGTCGTCGGTACGTAAGATCGGAGCACCGCGGCCTCTTGCCTCCCTCGTCTCGGTGACGGTCCCCTCGACGAGGGGGGCGGGGGGGGGGAGGGGAGGGAAGAGGGAATCTGCGAGAAAGCGAACCGATTTCGCGAAATCGCTCGCGGGTGGCTGTATGCGTGCTTGTGTATGCGTGTGTGTGTCTGCATGCGTGCGTGCGCGCGTGCCTGCGTGCGTGCGTGGGTGCGCGCGGTGGAACGTTATCGGTAGTGAACGTGCTTGTGCGTGCGCGCCGATTTCCGGACGATTTCAAATCGTGCGATCGATCCGCTCGCCAGCGGAGGCTGGAGAATTCGGTGGACGCGATCGCCGACGGTCCGACGGATCTCGATCGAGTTCCCTCCCCCCCCCCCCCCCCGAGAGGGAAAAGAATCGCTTTTCGCGCCAGTCGCCGATTTATAAGAGGAGCGAACCGAGATCTAGGACATCGATTCCGTTCGCGTCTTTGTGCTAATCGCTCTCTCAAACGCGAGCGGCCTGGCCAGTCCGCGTCTCACATACACACACACACACACACACACACACACACACAGTCCGGATCCCTTTTTGTCAGTTACTCCGCTTCTCATATGGTCGCGACATGCTTTTTCGTTCCTTTTGTCGTCGACTTTTCGTCGCCGGGATTCTCTCTCGGCGGCCGAGACTCTCTTTCTCTTTCCCTCTCTCTCTCTCCCCCGGTCGTTCGCGAATTCGTTTCTTTTCGCGCGGGGAAGATCAGCCGTTCGCCAGCGCGAGCGGCTTCGCGAACTCGTCTTCCCTCACGGCCGCGAGATTATCGGTCTCTACGAGTAAAACCGCGATCCTCGCCGCCTCTGGCGTCCCCCGGTCGTCTCTTCCTGTAATGCAATTCTTTGCCGCGGCTCGCCGTGTATGTACACCGGCCGAGTTACATGATGTAACGCGACGGTGACGTAAAATGCGGGCGTCGCGTCTCGATTCCGCGAGCCGACGCGATCGACCACCGCGAGATGTACGGGCATCCTCCGACGGATCGGGAAACAATTTCGGGCTACGCGGGGGACGAGCGGGGGAGGGGGGGGGGTTCGGGGGAGGCGTGAGGACTTTAACGGGGGTCCACGGACACCGTCGTGGCCGCCTGGCTAGCCCCGAGCACCGGATGGCAGGCATGGCGCGCACCGCGCGCGAGGGGTAGATTGAACCGCTCCGCACCCTGCGATCAATAAACTCGCCGAGAGGGAGCAGCCCCGTGACGAGTCGTTCAACTCCGCCACATTTTGTCTCCCTCCTCCCCCTCCCCCGCGTCTCTTCATCCCCTCCCGCGCCGCTCCCTCCCCGCCGCCCTTCGCAACCCTCAAACCCCCCCCCCCGCGCCCCTCCCTCGACGACTCGTCCGCTGTTTCTTCAACCCGTAACCCTTGCTATCAGCGATTCAGCACGTGCACTTCCACTCCGTTCCGCAACGAGATAGCGCGCTCACTCGCGCTCCGGCGCGGCGGATTATCGCGGACCGACGGACGCCGAGGAGAGACCTCCATGCCTTTTACAGAACTTTCCCTCGCGACTTTAATCGCACGCTTCCTCGTGACGGGGACGGCGCTTGTAGGAGGCACCCTTTCGCTTCCTCGTCTGGACGCTTATAGGTTCCTGAAGCCGACGGAGGATCGGTGTATCCGCGTCGATCAGATCCGGAAAATCGGCTCTTCCGAGCATTAGAAATCAATTCTTTCGGGTGCTTAAAAGGAAGACGGTCTGTTTACAAACTGGAGTCTTCAATTCCTTCAATTACTTCTTCTGTCGACGCGTCGGCAAATTTTCGCTTAAATAGATTTAGCACAGGAACATTTTATAAATAATTGTCAAATTTGCATTTTATAAAGTCCTATAATAAAATAATTTTTTAATATTCTTAATATAATTAATCGCTATCATTGCTTAAAATACTCTCTAAAAGTCGATCAGTGGATCACCGATTGATTTTTAGAGAGTTGATTTAGTATAAATCTATTTTAAGCAATTAATGATAGCAATTAATTACACATTAAGAACGTTAAGAAATTATCTTATATTATGAGACTTCGGTATAAAAGGCAAAGTTAATAATTATTTGTAAAATCTTCCATAGTACTATCTAATAACAATCGCGTTTAATGCAACAATTATGTTTCCGTGCTGCACACACCAGCACTTTCAGTCTCAATTTACAATTCTGCGATGATCACCGAGTCAAAAGTGACTAATGTATCAGACACGTTTACGACCAATTAATCAGAGTTCACGGAGCAGCAATCCTGCCGCATAATCCAATCACATTTACAATTTCTATTAGCCTAGAACGATTTCAATTTCATTAATTTTGGGAGCGTATCACGCGAGTTGCTTAAAGCACGCTTAACTGTCACGCGCGTTGAAAGTGAGATCGCGCCTCCAACGGTTGCCGACCAACCGACCTTGAACTAAGCGAGAGTTCCCTCGTGTTAACCCGTCAAACTCACGGGCCCTCGATTTACAACAAAATCGCGAAACGCGCTTTCCTGCTTCGATATCGGGACACCATCGAGATCGGGTCGTCGGCGATCGCCTCACGACGCGCGTGTCGTTCAATCCGGTGTGTTTTATGTGAAATCAGGTGATCAGTGCACTCGGAAGAGCCGCGGTAAGGATGTGGCGAGATCCTCCAGGCGGAGGGTACAAGACACCCATCCACGTCGTCGCTATGTTGCTGCTGCTGGCTGCTGTCCTGGCATTGACAACGGGTGAGTCAACTTCGCGCGAAAAGATCTCATTCATACCGCGTTTCTCAGCGTGACTCGACGATAATTACGGAGAAGCATTCACGCGCGTGAGACACCGCGCGATAAGCGGTGAAAAATCGGAAAAATGCTTACGCAAGGACGAGTCGCGATTTTTCTTGCGCGTATCAAGTGCGCTGTAGCGAGACGCGGCGATACGTAATGTAGGATGAGGGCACACTGAAAAAAAGTCTGATAGATTCAACCAGTCGTCTGTTCGAAAATGGACGAATCAGAATTCCTTTAGGATTTACCAGAATTCCTTTAGGATTTACCATGAAAGATATTTGATAACCAGAAGTTTGCTAGACTTCACTACAAATCTGGTAAATCCTAAAGGGAATTCTGATTCGTCCATTTTCTAACAGACGACTGGTTGAATCTATCAGATTTTTTTTCAGTGCAAACTTTAATGCCCGGTTTCACCAAACGTTGCTCAACTTTAATCTTACACTGAAAAAAGATCTAATAGATTCAACCAGTCGTCTGTTCGAAAATGGACGAATCAGAATTCCTTTAGGATTTACCAGAATTCCTTTAGGATTTACCATGAAAGATATTTGATAACCAGAAGTTTGCTAGACTTCACTACAAATCTGGTAAATTCTAAAGGGAATTCTGATTCGTTCATTTTCTAACAGACGACTGGTTGAATCTATCAGATTTTTATTCAGTGTAAGGATCAAATTCAGATATTAAGATCGGAGAGGATCTTCGTTCAAAACTAATAGCGAATTCGATTGCTCGCACTGGTGCGCACTGAGCGCACGCTAAGGCCTGCTTATAGTCCATTTTTATATTTAACTTTGCCTTAAATACACGTTCAAGCCGTAAAACGATCCGCATGGATGGTACACAGATCACTTTGCTGGCTACGAAATATTTCAAGAGATATTTAAGACGATCCTTGAATATAAGAATTGACTGCAAGCAAGCCTTAGCGTGCACTCGATGCACTAGTGCAAGCAACCGAATTCGCTATAAGACCACTGTTCGTTTTAAAGCTACGCGGTTTCTACGCCCTTTTGTCGTGGCACTTTGTACATCGCAACGTGACTCCTGACGTTTCCCAGAATTATTCGTAATTCTCTTGCATAAATTACAAGTCTGATGCGCATTTGAATGCATTACTGCAGCGTAATATTAAATACATATTCGAGCTTATCGAATTGCAAAGTTTACCAGCTGACGCAGCGTTCTGTTCTCTCTGCGGTACACGTGCTTCAAATATGATGTACTCAGCGACGTTAAGCATCCTTGGATTTTCCTAGCTCCAATTAGCGTATTGAGAGGAGATTAACATGTGGCTCTAATAAGTTTCTGTCAAGAATAAGATTGTGAAAATTCACTTCTCTTTATGTCATTGTAATGTTCAAGTCTAATATAATAAAATGTAGAAGTGTAGGAATTTTAGAAAGATTTTAGAAATTGCTTTTCTACACAGAAAGAAATTATTTTGTATCAACAAGATCAGTGGAATTGAAATGAAATTGTTGAAACAACATCGGTACTAATGAATGAGAAACATCAGCTAGTTAATACAATTGCGTGAATTATTTATGTTTGTGGCAGCCCGTGACGTTAAAGTTTAATTCGAGCAACTTCATTTTCATTCAACAGCATGTTTTCCCGTGTATAAAAGTTGTATAATATCCTTCTTTATATAATGTAAAAATCAGTAATGAAAGATTGAATCCCACACTGTTATTGTGTTGTTAAATTGAACTCGATGAGGAAGTCACTCCTGCTCGACATGTCCTGAATTTAATTAAACAAATGGAGTTGAAAGAGACCGTAAAATGAAATGAGTTGAATGAAAGATGTTTTCTAACTACAATTTGTGTTGTAAAATGATAAATTTTGCTACATGTAATAGCCAGAAGTAGCAGTATATTTAATTTAACGCTACAAGTCTAACAGTGCAACAAAGGAATAATCAAGACTCGCGCGATTTTCAAGTATCCGATCTAAGAGTTGGATTTCGTTTATTCTGATTCGCTGTAACGGTCCACCGCTGTCTTTTGTGGCATAATCTCGTGTCCGCGTATTTTGAACCGAACAGACGGTTAGTTGGGACCGTGAAAGGTCCCGAGGTGTAGGTACGAGTGGATCACGAAGCGCAGCTGTCGGAGGAGAGGCTGAGATGAAGGGAACGAGGAGATCGAGGGAAAGGAACAGCTGCTGTTCCCAGAATGCAGGCTCACATCATGCTCTGAGAAGAGAATTGCACTCGCGGATGCTCGCCGCCAGGTGAATCCGCCTATTATGCGGGACCTGAATTATTTCATCAGTAGAACGTCATTTATTATGGAAAGTGAATGGCATCGGGCTGGAGTGTTCACGGAGTTTCTGATTGACATCCGAATTGGGGGATGAAAATTAAAAAGAGGATTTCGTTGATAATCACAGGAAAGTGAAAAATGGAGTTCACGATGACTGAGTTGTAACGGAAGCTTTGCGAAATTGAATACAAACGAGACGTTCTTTTGGATTTCAATAAAATTGTGGTGCAAACGACGTTAATTGTAAATATACTTTGACGTTGTAATCACGTGAAATACGTGTACGACAACATTGCATTTTAATTGCAATGGAAGCGATATCGAGACCAAGCTGATTATATTGTTTGCACTTCGAGCCTGCAGAAGCGATGCTTCTACTTAGAGAAACACTCGATGTTTTGGTATCTAACAGGAAGTAACAGAAATAGACGCGGTTACAGAAGCCATGTATGACCTGAAAGAATGAGGTTTGAGTATTTCTTGGGACCTCCACACCTACGCGTAAAAATTGTATGTCCGCCCTCGCGATTATTAATGTGCGTTGATAAAATATGATTTGAATAATTCTAGTAGTAATTTCAAAGAGCTGACTGTGCTCTGAGAGCTTTTGAAAGACGATTGAAAAATATACTTTAGAATCAATGAATTTAACGCTTAAGATATAAAGCAAAATTAATTATTCCGTCTTTTATTTAGCTAAATAATAATTAAACGATAAAAGAAGTCGCTGAAAAATGAAGGGAAAATCGTGAAAGACGCTTCGCGTAACAGTTTCGAAATGAAAAAAAATCAAACCTCAGCGCAAGCGCGTTTAAAATTAAAATTTAACTTCAAATTAACGACAAGTCGAAGGCGAGAGAAAAGGTTCCATCGAAAGACCGCTTAGTTCGATTCGTTTTTCTTTTCGGCACCTTCGACCGCCGACTTATGGTTTCGACATATTTCTCATTATTATGCACGTCACAGCGTCTTACGTTTACGCACGCATACGCATACGCGCGAGCAGATGCGAACGTGAATCACGCGTGTGTGCGCGCTGAAAATATATTCGATGCAGCATGTTCCGGACGTTTCAAAGCTATCGCTATATATAGATTACAGAGCGGTTCTCGGCCGGGAAGAATCTCGCCTTTCATCGGGGGATTGCGTGAGAGTTTAATCTCGGGAAAGAAATTTTTACCCGCCACTTTTGCGATCGATATCCACACGTGCGGCGCGCCGCGTCCCGCGCCAATGTAGCCGCGACAATACCCCGCGCCCATTGTTGCACCGTGCACGTGCCGCGGGACGTATAAACAACGTAACCCTTTGGACGTAAATGCACACTCGCCATTGAGAAACTGCGTACGCACTCAGTTAATCATTGCGATACCCCGGCGTTACTTTAATCCTTTCAGCCCCTTCGGTGACGCTATTGTAACTGTCAACTTAACGAGGTGATTTTGATTTGAGAGAAAAGAAGAGAGAGAGAGACAGGCAGAGGAGAGAAAATATCCGATGCAAAGCTTAAAGGAAAAGAAGGAAAAGAAAACAAAAATATAAGACGAGAGAGGGAGGGAGGGAGGGGGGGAGAGAGAGAGAGAGAGAGAGAGAGAGAGAGGGAGAATAAAAAGTTAACTTTTTGTTAGCTGCTTCAGTTTAATGTAATTTTATTTACGGAAAGTGTCTATTACCGTTGAGAGTGAAATGGATCGGGAGGAAAGCTGGGAAAGAACAAGAATAGGCGATATAAAATTGCAATTGCTCCGAGAGCCCAGGTCCGACTCTAGCAGAAGGCGCGTATTCATAAAAATTCGAAACACCTGTTCTTTATACCAGCGTATCCTGCCCGCTCGCTTCAACGGCGCACGCTCCGCCAACCGGTTCTTGATTTTGCACCGGGTTTGTATACGCTCTCGCTTCGCCGCGACCGGCGTCGTAGGTGAATCAGTAGGTGGCTACGTGCGAGAAAAGTAGCGCGGTAGACCGCATAAACTTGGGATATATCCATTGTAGCGAGGGGTGACTTGAATCACTAAACATTCGTATCTCCGTGTTGCTTTTGCACCACGTCGCTATAAAGAAATTGCGGACGGCCACTCACGCGGATAAATAAATGCAGGTTTCGAAACGTATCTTCTCAGCTGTCGATCCGCGGAGTATAAATCACGATTGTGCGGACAATGCCGCTCGTATCGAGAGAGAATTGCACGGAAATTATTTCTGATTCGTACTTGGAAGAGGATTTTCCTGCCGCCCATGACAATTGTACGGAACGCAGCGATTTGCAATGCGTTTGCAATTAATTTGCAGCCAATGGCACATAATTTGCCATCGGTGGAAATAACTTTTCGCCATCGATGGCACTGATACAAACTAGGAGCACGGCCGCTCCACGACGGAAAAGGAATCACGCATTGTCGTCTCCCTTATGGTCACATGACGTTGATCGCATATTATTCAATAACAGGCCCGACAACCTGTTGTTTGCTGCAATTGGCAACGCGCCAATTGAATGTGGGTGTCGCATATCCTGGTTGAAACGGATGATAAGCGAAACCCGAAGACACGAGACAAAAGGTCTCGTCGCTCGTGGCACTTTAAATTAATTGTGCTAATGTTTCCCACAAGCCGTTAAGTATCCCTTACATTTCGCTCTGTCCACGGAACACATTCCGTTTTCGTGACTACAACAAAACTCCGCCGCAGTCTCCGGACCAACATTACATCAAAATTAAATTACACTTGCGAAGATATTGCTTCAAGTCGTCTTGCGAGTCGTTTATAATTTCGAAAAATAACCGTTAAAAAATAAGCCGTTTGTTTTGAAAGTGGTGTACGTTAACCAACTTGACCAATCGTGTTGAGTTTGACACGAAAATGTTACGCAGTTGTACATCGTTTTCGAAATAAATTACTTAAGCGATATAAACGTACTCGTGCATGATCAGGGAAACTTTTGCGTCTTGCTTGCAGTTGTTTCGGCTGAAGACGCATCGATGGGACCGGTGTTCGTCAAGGAACCCCCGAACCGGATTGATTTCTCAAACGGGACCGGAGCAGTCGTCGAATGCCAGGCAAGAGGAAACCCGCAACCGGATATCATTTGGGTCCGTTCCGATGGAACTGCTGTGGGAGACGTTCCCGGATTGCGACAGGTATCGTACCAAATTTTTGTATACCCGTTTCCCTTATTAAAATCTTATTCGGATAAATATTGAAGCTAATATCGAGGGAGAATTGCCGTCGATTTTATCGAGCTGCTTCAAAATAGATGTGCGTGTGTGACATCCATCAAATCTATTAAAGTCGTTAACGCGTCTATTAATGTTAGCAAAAACGGATGTTCTCAATGAAGCAAAAAGTAAGAGATTGAAAATGAATTTTTATCTTCCACACGTAGGACGTGAACTGTTCCTCTAAGTAGCCGGCAATTATTAGTCATTCCAGTATCAAAAAATACCTATCTGCAATATGTGAATGGAATTATTAAACGCCCATGCCATCCCACATTCATTCACGCAATCGCGAAGGACGTTTTAATTATTTCTAAGCTTGCCGCTCGCGTTATTGTACACTGATTTAGTTTCTACATTCTATGGTTGTTTACCCCTCGCAGGTTCTGCCGAACGGAAATTTGGTGTTCCCTCCTTTCCGCGCTGAAGACTATCGTCAGGAAGTTCACGCTCAGGTCTACAGCTGTTTGGCACGTTCCCCTGCGGGTTCGGTGCACAGCCGTGATGTCAACGTGAGAGCCGGTAAGTGTCAATCTTTATCCATTAAGTACTTATCGTTTAGCCATCTGTAGCAGCCTATAAAGGATGTTTCAGAAATAAAGAGCGCCCTTAAATTTAATCTCAAACTTGGATTTGATATCGATCTCTGACAAAAACTTAACTCTCTATATATTTAATATCGAAGTACATGTATTAGTTATAGAACTGCAGTTAAATTTATAAAAATAATTAGACAATTTAAATCTTTAACATTTATTTCAATTCAAAAATTTTGGAAACATTTTGTGTAACGAAACCAAAATTGTGTTTTGAAATTGAAATTAAAATTAAAGTTAATTCTTGTTGTTTGAAGTTAAATTAAAGCTTTTTTGTTGTTTTATCCACTGTTGTTTCCAACGCATTAGAAGTTCTTACTTGAGAATTTTTTAATAATTTTTTTGTAAACGAGTAATACATATATTTAAAATTAAAGTTATATTTTTAGATATAAGATGGCTAAACATAGGAAAATTTAAAGAACATTCTTTCCAGCTGTGGCTAAGAGCACGTGTTTTCGTGCTCACTATTTTTGCTGTATCTTATCCGACGTTTTTCTCTGGAAGAACTTCAATTCGGTAAAAGGCATCGGTGTCACGATCGGATGATACAATACACAATCCGATGCTATACTCTTTTATGCATTTTGCAATCTCTGCCGCCGCCGTTTATGCGAACTTATATTTAATTCGTTCTTCAGTCTCAATCTGCTCGCAAAGAAGTTATTTTTTTTACGCAATCGATGCAAAAATTTCTACTTTTATGTACTTTTATGTCATCGTATCGTTCTTGTAAAAGTGAAAATATTTCTGAGTCACACGGTGATATCATTAAATCTGACGTCACTATGCTTTATCGACCGCAGCAGTTTCCAATTGCGTCCTTATCGCTTACTGGTTAAATATAACTTGTTCAGTACAGATTTCTTAAAATAATTTTTGGGATAATTATGCAACAATAATTACTCAACAAAATTATATTAATATTTATTAAATATATTGTGATTTTAGATGTAAACAAAATTACAAAATTTTATCACATCAATTGTAGAAAATTACTTAAAAGAAATGTTTACTTTAACGAATCTGATAAAATTTCTTTACATTAGCAAAAATATAAAATTCTTGGGGCTGTTGAGGCTGGAGCAAAATAGTTTCCGGCGTACTGTGAACGTTATTTTGTGTGTAACGAAATTATAGTGGTGGCGCAGTATTACGACACCGACGTCAATAAAGAATACGCGATCCGTGGGAACAGTGCCATTTTGAAGTGTGTCGTTCCTTCCTTCGTCGCCGATTTCGTCAAAGTCCTATCCTGGCACACGGATCAGGGAGAGGAATTCGTGCCCGGCGATGACTTTGGTATAAACAAGATTAGGATTTGATCAGTGAACTGACCGATCTCCTTAACTCCTTGCGAGCAGAAAATTACGTCGTTGCATCTTTGACACACAACGATCTGCGTTTGCACACAATTAAGAGCCGTGAATTTGAGAATTTTATGTTCTGAAGATATCTAAAGTTTTATAACAGTACGAAATTAACATTTGACGTAGCCATTGCGTAGAAACGCGTGAAAACAAAGTATACATTTAAATCCTAAATCCCACGTTAAATTTTCCATTCTGAGTCTCGGCCAAATTTTACGGGTGCAATTTCCCAATTCATTTATACCCCTCGCACAGGGACAATTAAGAAATAATGTCGTTATCGCCCGCTCATATATTCCAGTTCGGGGGCACAAATGCGCCGCGTCGTTCGGTTGAGTGACTGACACCATCCGTGCGACTCGGCCGCTTCTCGTATATTGATCTCAATTGCCACGGTGGCGAAATGCAAATCAATTTGGAGCTGTGCAACGCGAAAGTATATGGGTCGCTCACTTTCCACTTCCACGGCTAGCACGTGTGTGTATGTATGTATATACGCGCGCATCGTTACATTCGTCTCGTTAACGTTATATTCAACTCGTATCTAGCAGAAACAATCGAATATTTGACCGTTGTCAGCTATCTCTCTCATTTTTTCTATTAAACCACAGGACACTCGCTTCTGACGCGCCGCCTGCATGTTTCAAATCGATCAGTTCGTTTAACAATATTTTAGATATCTTCGTTCTGCCCTCTTTTACCTGTTCTGGAAATTAATAATAGCAATGCTAATTGGTCCTAATAATAATAAAAATAACAGTAAATGCGCTTTTATTAGTGCTATTGTTTTTGTGGTCTGTTATCGCATTAATATTTCATAATCAAAAATACAAAAACAGTTACTATATCAACTGTGGAACAATAGTTCTCGCAATTGCCGTTAAATTTCATTTCAAACAATTTTCATAAAAGCGAAAATGCTTCAGGTTTTTTTTTTTTGAACATCGTATCGACGCATCCGGGGTATGCGTATGTGCACGCATGCACCGGGCTGTGAAAGTCAATCGATCGTGTGCCATCGTGATGTCTGCTCGTCGGCGACTGCCGACATAAGATGCGACAACGCAAATAATTCTGCTCGCGGAGCAACGGCGAAGTACATCGCCCGAAGCTGTCGTCAACGTCGTCGAGATCTCACACGGTTGTCATAAAAAGAAATTAATTTTTTCATACATTTGAAAAAAAAACCTTTTCACGAATTGCGTATAATCTCGCATTGTAAGGACAATGTCGGCCGGTCAGGAGACACAATATTCCGTTGAATGTACTTGCAATCGACGTGAAAATAAAAGCGGTACGGGCGGACGCCGTAATGTTCGTAGTGTTGAGTAGAAAAATCGGCCGTAATGTTGAGTAGAAAAATCGGCCTCGCGCGGATTATTGCGATCGTTTATTGCAGTGGTGCATCAGTATTATCAGTCCGAGGTCAACAACGAGTACGTAATACGCGGCAACGCGGCCATTCTCAAGTGCAGTATACCGAGCTTCGTCGCAGAATTCGTTCAGGTCATTGGCTGGCAGGACGATCAGGGGAACTCTTTCGATCCGGATCAGGGAAACGGTACAATCCGAAACTTTTAGGCATTCGGGAGGAACTTGGGATCCGCGTGGGCAGCGAATGGGCGAAACTGGTCAACGTCGTCGCGTTCGGGAGGGCGCGAGATATTTCTTCTCGCCTGACTGCGTGGTCGTGTGTCGCGAGTCTCGCTGATATTTCATTCGAATCAATAAATCGAGGTAAAAGTCTATGGGCAACCTTTTCGAGACGTACATTGAACTTGCCACTTTGTCATTTAAATGGAACGCTTTACACGAGTGTAGGAGTGCTTGATATTTTATTTGAGACTTGCGTAAGTAATGCAATTTCTTGGGTAGGCCGTGTCGCGAGGTTTCTACCTTACTATCTGAGAACCAGTTTCCGTAATTACATAGCGGAGCATAGGATCAAATTGTATAATATTAGCCGCTGGAGCGTGCGGCTCTAATGTTGCAATCTCTCTGATCGTAATCATCTAATTCTCTCCAGTGGAATATATTTAATTTCTACGGAATGATTAAATCTACGCGCGTAACAAGGCATTGTCTACGGTGACTCGCACGTCGCGATAATAATGAAAGTATGTTATGCGGGCGTCCTGAATCGAGGAAAAAAAAAATTGGTTCTTCTCGATTAGGCGCGCAGCAACGCAACGCGATGTTCGGAAGCGCGCGGTGCAGCAACACAATGCGCCATTATAATATGCCATTATCTTCCGCAGTCGTGACTCAGTACTACGAGGCGGAAGTTGTATCGGAATACGTGATACGCGGAAATGCGGCTATTTTGAAATGCACCATACCGAGCTTCGTCGCCGAATTTGTGTCGGTCGAATCGTGGGTGGGGAGCGACGGTTCGACTTTCAGACCGTCCACTGATTACGGTACCAAATCTCATACGTGTTCCTTATTCGCGTGCACACTTGTTCTTTTATCGCTCCTACTAGAGCAGCATCCTTAAGGGAATGATACGCCGGGGAGAGATTTGTACTCCTCTAGTTCTCTGCTCCCTTCGATCATCTCCACCTGAAGAAAACTGATATCAGTTACTCTTACCGGTATAACGATGACATATTGCTAGAGCAATGACAAGATGTTACCGTTATACGTAAAGTATTAAAATATGTGGAGAACTTGTGCCGTTGAAAGAAGAACGAAGTTATGGCTTTTAGAAATTTTTTGTTATCGATCACGACACTTCTTCGATAAGAAGAAATCTATGGTACAGATTTTCTATGACGTTTACTGCTTTCGTTAAATCTTGACGTGTTTTCATAAATATGTATTTGCGAGGCAAGATAAATTCTTTTATTTTAGAAACGATTAGCAACACACGCGCGTCATTCTAAACTCTTATTCTGCATATCGTGCTAGATCGTTTAATGAACTTTTGACGCGCAACGTGCCAGCGTTGCACAATTTGTATGATGACCACTGATGAGCACGTCGGCCAATAAGTACATACGATGAGTACACAGAGAGCGAGGAAATTCTCTTTCCGGTCGTATCACCCCTGTCTCACTGTTACTCAGACACCCTGTCCCCTCGCCCAACTTTGTCAAAGTTCAAAGTGGCACGTGGTAACGATTCGTTTCCGCCGGCCACGCGGTCCGATCTGACGGCGGCAGAACGACGGCGGCAGCACACGTACATACGCGAGAGTTAATGAACCATCCGGTAGCTCTCACACCGCGAATTACGATAGGTCTAAGAAAATAAGCCGACGATCGTGTCTACGGACGCGCGTGGAAAATCACGGGAAGTCACGCAGGGAGAGCCGAGAATAAATTTTCCGTTTCAGCGTGACGTAATGTCCAGCGAGCGCATTTTGACGTAATTGACAACGCAATAGGATAGTGAAGAGATCAAAAGAGCGACAGTTCTTTTTAGAATTTAATTTGCGATTGCATTATCATATTTATTTCGCTCTATTTTGGATAGATAGCAAAAAGTATTTACAGGGCACTGTGATAAAAAAGAGATTCCAAACTGCTTCTGCTATCATTTCCACTGCTTTTTATGAAAAATCTTACTGTTTGCTCGTAATTTGTTTTACGATGTCTCTAAAGAGCTCAAATTTTCCTGTTTATGGGCGTATTTTTATATTTTTTCTTGCGAAAAATAGGGAATGCGCCTCATACAATCTTTGACCATGTGACATTTCTTATTAATTCAATTAAACACGCGCTGTATTTTAATGTGTACTCCCCGCATAGTTGTCACTCAGCCATACAATCCGGAGATCTTGACTGAATACGTTATAAGGGGAAACAGCGCGATATTAAAATGCAGCATCCCCAGTTACATCGCAGAATTCGTTACTGTCGAGGCGTGGATTCGCGAAGATGGAGAGGTTTACCTTCCGGCGGATCTTACGGTTGCGCAGGGTATTACATTGGGCGATCCTCAATTATTTTAAGCATCGCCGAAAATTTGTATATGGATTAGGATGTTTATTCTAATAGAAAGATATAATTCAGGGATTCGGAAAGGATCTCTTTACCGTAACTTGTTTCATGAATTTAAACAGTTATTTTGCGGTTAAAAGTATTAACCCTTTTAGCAAAGAGTTGGATATTACAGTTGTATTAAATTGTGTACAGTCTTCTTGCAACTAATCCTATGCAATTTGCCGTGGAAAGCGTCGTTATTTGTGCCTACTAATAGCCGAAACAATCATCTTTCCTTTCATGACCCTGTTGTGCATTTTACTTTATTTTCCGCCGATCCATCCGTTTAACTCTTTGAACTCTACCCCGAACTCTAGTTTTATAAGAGCGTATCGAAAGACGCTCTGTGATACATAAACAAAATATCTTGTTAAAGTGTGACAAAAAGTATTTTGAATTTTTATGCGATTAACTGATTTACTTTATACAGAGCGATTGTAAATTAATCGTATAAATCTCGCCGTTTTATGCGATCAGATAGCAAATTACAAAAGGAAACGTTGAATTTTTTACCGTGTCTCAAAGAGTTAACACATTGCCGGCAGTGGTTTCGCAGTTCTACGTTACCGAAGCCGAGAACGAGTACGTGATCCGGGCTAACAGCGCGATCATGAAATGCAAAATACCGAGCTTCGTATCCGAGTTCGTCCAGGTGGATCAGTGGATGGCCGACGACGGGACGATTTACATGCCCGGACAGGAGTACGGTATGATGCCGGTCGATGCCGACGTAGTGCGCCTTGTCGTCCGCGCGGCGCAGCTTCTTCTCCATTCTCTTATTTCCCCGTTGTTCTCATTTCCCACCCTCAAACGAGTTCTCGCACTTTCTTCTCATTCGTTTCCCGGCAATCCGACGACTGTCGGTTGCAGTTCGCAGCTCGTGACGAGTTTCAACTTTTACTTTCGAATTTCTGCTATAATACAGGGCAATCGTGCGCAATGAGAATTACATTAGGAAGCGCGTTTGAGTTGCAAGATAAACGTCTGAAGGATGGATACAAAGACGTTACCGAAATCAGTTTTAACGATAGCAATTTCAACGGCGAAAAATACGATGGCTCCGTAGGACCGTCTTTTGGCGCGGCTCGAGTAGCGTCCGTCAAAGCGAAACAAAATTCAATGTGATCTGTCGTGATCTGCTCTGAGCGAAATCACGCGTTGCAGTGGTCCAGCAATTCTACGAGACGAGGGTCATCGACGAGTTCGTCTTACGCGGGAATACGGCAACCCTGAAGTGCCTCCTGCCCAGCTTTGTGGCGGATTTTGTAGATGTGATTGAGTGGCAGGCTGAGGATGGTTCTACGTATACCGCGAATAGCCAGGAAGAAAAGGGTACTTACGTCGATTGCACGAAACCAACGTTAAAGAAATAACGCGAACCTTTCGACATACATATATCACTTCTCAATTATATCATAGCGACGGAATTTGGTTTCTTCTAGATAATTCCTATTTATCTTTCTATAATGTTTTTTGTTCTACGTCCTCAACATTTCTCACATATCCGACTTTCGGAGCATTTTGTAAATTAAATTACAACGTGCTCGCGTCTCAGATGGGTGGAGACGGTTTATTTATGCGCGTGTATCGCACACACCAGCGTCGTTCGGCAGAACGCGCATGTAACGTGAGGGAGGGTTGGTCAGGTCGATGGAGTGGAACGCGGGTTCTGTCCCAAAAAGTTTGCCATTTTGGATTCGGCGACCGGCAAGGGTGAATAGAGATAGAGCACGCGGCTGGCGGTGGTCTCGTTCGACGTAATCCTCTGATTAGGATAAGCCAGATTAATCGGGTTGAGAAGCGAATTAACGCCCCGCGCGACCAGGCGATTTGATCCACTTTCAGCAAAGAGAGAGGATCGTTAAAGGGTTATTCCTGGCGACGTAATCGAATCTACTTTACGGTCGCGGTAGCCGGTGCATGAATGTATTGCAATATTCATTAATCAGGCGATAATTGATGTGAGCATTAACGTATTCAATTTTATCGTGCTGTCATATAAAAAGTCACAATTTTACCTCTGTATCTAATTTTTGGTCGTAGAAATGGATATTATTTTCTGAAACGCATGTTGCATATTTAAAAAGTGTGACTGAATTTGTTTATTAACCGGATTTATGAGACAAGGGAACAGAAGTTAGGACAAAAATCTTATTGTTATCAGAACTGGCACAAAAACAGAGAGAGAGAGAGAGAGATTTTTAATATTAATTTAGAGCGTAATATTCAAAATATGCCTATTGATCTTCTTTGATCTAGTGTCCACGGACAAATTTCTGTAGGAAATTAAGAGGCGGGAGCGGGAATTTATTAATTTGCAATTAGAATAAGTCAGATTAACTGGATCGATGTCCACGTGCATCGGACGTTGCTGGATTCGATAGAAGCACGATCGGAAACTGGCTGCAGCGGCAGCCAGTTTGCAGACAGCCCAGGCCTCATTGGAATTTTAATCGGCGCGATCAAAGCGCACCGGCGACGCTCCTGCAGCCTAGAACAAACGCCGAACTCCTGTTTTTTTTTCTCGCTTCATTTTGCAGTGGTCGCCCAGTACTTTGAGGTTCAGGTTTACGATCAGTTCGCGATACGCGGCAACGCGGCTATTTTCAAGTGTCAAGTTCCCTCGTTCGTGGCCGACCACGTGGACGTGGTGGGATGGATCGATTCCAACGGCGGCAGTTACGTCGCCGACGCACAGTCATATGGTAGTAAAAATTGAAAGGATGCACAGCGCGCATTGTGTCTCTCCCTCCTTTGTAAGCTGGAAAATCGCGAGCTCTCGTCTGAGTAAGGCGCAGATCATCGAGAGAACTGGATCGATCGACCGAGTTATTCGATCTTGCATGCGCTTCCTACAATTTCCTGCTCTCCTCTGAACGATACCACGTATCATGTTTGTCTGGTTTAAATGTGTGAAGCGCAAGAGGCGCATGCAACACGATTAGATATCTTTTTCATATCGTTGCGATGCGCTTCGGCGTGCCACTTGTTTATTGAACGTGTATAACGAATCGTAATGTCGAACATCGATCGCGTCTATTTCAAGACCGGTCGCGCGACCAGTTCTCTTTGACAGGAACATATTCTTCAGCTGCCGTGGACAGTAGAGTTTATTTTAATTCACAAAGAAAAGAGACGTGATGGCGACGTGAATAGGATTCCTGATTATGACACGCCCGTCTCGCCGAATGGAATTGATCGAGTCATTGAAAACCGTCGTGATGGTCACATTTAAGAATAACGTCTGGATCGTTCGTCGAGTACCTGTCTTTATTGTAAATTCTGGAAAAAAAATTGTCATACATAATATACAATATTTATTATGTGTCATACGCGCGGTAACACCGAAGCGTTTTCGCGATTAATGTGAGGCAATCGTGTTAATTAAGGCACTTTCAAAAATTTATGGGATAAATTTTGCAGTAATATGGAATGCCATAACGGTGTTCCGCATGAACTTTCAAATTGAATTCGTTAAAGTGTAATACACTATTCTATCGACTAACAACTTCGAGCCAGTATTATAGTACGCAGTATCTTCTAGTTTGACTATTTTCTTGGTAGGAGAAAATATAGACACTCCCTTTGAATTAATGAAACTAGCTGTTTGATGACTCATAGATTAAGATTAACTGGGAAATTACGTGTTAAACTGCGTTTACGTAATTCACGCAGGATATAAATGATAAATTGACTTATTCATGACATATAAATATTTAATATTTACCTGTTCAATGATACAAATTATCAAATTATTAACAGTCGAAAGGGATGAAAGAATATTTCTGTATCCGAGTTGAATTGTTAGACGGAACACTTGGCCTATTCGCTTTGAAATTAATGCGTTAAACGATATTTTTATTTTTCGACGTAGAAATCGACGAAATCGTCGATCGTGTGAAATAAAATTGTAATCAATCGACGAACGATCGACACGTCCTGTCAGGTGGGAGATGTGCGCCTTATGGTAAAACCGGAAACCGGTGTCTGGTTGCAGTTGTCGGGCAGCGGTATGCAGTGAACGTGATGGACGAACACGTCCTTCGGGGGAACGCCGCAATTATCAAGTGTCACATACCGAGCTTCGTCGCCGAATTCGTCGAGGTTGACTCTTGGATCGAAGACGAGACCACTGATATATATCCTAGCGCCGATTACGGTACACGATGCGCAACCACTTCATGTCATCTTCATTCCGATCGAATATCGCGCGAATCTTGTATTTCCACGACACTCGCAGTCCACCAAATCGGCGCGTCATGCGAACACTTGTCGAGACAAACGCATGGAATGCCAATAGGAATTGTGTTCTACTTTTGTGTGCATTTCTGTTATTCTGTTGTTACGCGACTCGTGAGATAATGTCTGTGCGAAGAATATTTCGGTTTAGGGAAGTAGATTCTTGGACAAGGTTTCTTATGGTTTTTCGTTTCTCCTCCTTCCAATACGCTTTGTGTTTTAGTTACAAAAATCGATGCGCTTCTTTTGCACTCTCTGTTCTGTAAGAACACACGAGCGTTTGGTAAATATAATAGAATTACAGTGCTCGGTAAGCATTAATGTGCGGCAATATAGATCAAGGATTCTCCCATGCGTCGTCCGACCATCGCCCGGTAATGACACCCCGTTCGATGGTCGCTTTCGCATTCGAGCAAGAATTATCCTCGGCTCGGCCGTGACAAGTAAAAACGCGCTGGTTTCAGCCAGATTCGTCGCAAATACGATACGTAGCGGCGACTTTTACACAAATATTGACACGTGGGAGGGAAAAAGAGAATGGCAGGAAAAGGGAGTGAAGTTTTTCACACATGAATTTACAGTTTGCAAAATAACAAAAATACCAATCCTGGTCGTTTAAATCGTTCCATCGGCCTCCGCTCTATCGACCAAGCACCGTTCGAACCGATATCGTATCATGGCACGCGTGCAAAAATGCAAGACACACGTGTTCTCTTGTTTTGATGGGATGCCCCTCGTTTCAAAAGTACCGTGCAATATGGGATTTTACACGTGGAAATTCGTACGACGTTGACTGCCGCTGCTCGCGCTGTTCCAGAGACCTCTCTTCCCTCTCTCCACCGATTTTTTTTCCAGCCGTTCGATCGGCCCATCCGTCTCTGCTCACCTGTATCCCCCTCTCTGTGTGGTAGTAACTAAATGGCTGTGGATACCGCTTGTATATGATCGCATGAAACTAGTTCGCCTATCCAGGAAGTCTCGTTTGTCGATGAGATTCGGCCGCAAAAGCGATCAGATTCGTTAGAGGCGTTGAAACTGGAGCTTCAGTCACAATGGAGATTAACTTTAACGTGCAAAATGGATTAACAGGCAATTCGTTAGATCTCGTTTGTTAAGGTAATCTGCGTCTAGTAATATTGTATACAGTTAAATTTAATGGAAGTTTATATCGGAGATTTAATAATACAGAATTGCCTTTACGAAATAATTTGTCATGCTAATTTACACCCGTAAATACCCAGTGAGAAATGATTCGTCGTTTCGACGTCGAATCGACATCGACACCGTCGAATTGACATCGATTCGACATCTCGACGTCGATCGACGAATCATTTCTCACTGGGATAGATTTTACATTTGTGCGTCACACGCTTTGTCCTTTTTACATTTGTCACAATAAATACAAAGAGTACATAGATTTCCTGGATACCTGAACGAGCGAGGGGAACATAGCGCGCCATACATTTACATTTGCAAAGATGAAGACGTGATTCCGCATAATATCTTTCCTATGAGTCTGACAGACGCGGTGGGCGCGAGATTCCCTCGCTGTTGTTTGGCGAACTTTGATTCCGTAAAGAATTCGCCGAATCGTTGAAGCGGGAAATTGAGAAAGAGTCCGTGTCCATTCTCCGTTCGGTGAATTCGCGTACGCGCAGAACACCGCATGTGCATTAATCCAGACGGCATTGTGCTCGAAGTCGTTGTAATTTTACCTTACTGTCATTCGAGCATCGTGCGATTAAGTCGGGATAATCGATTTTATCTCGATACCAATAACACGGACGTGCTCGTTAATTAATCGGCAGTGATGTGTGTTCGCAACTAATCAATTGGTAGCGATATCGCGCGACGTCAAATAATGCAATAATCAGTCGATCGATTATCCTGACGAGTCACGTAAGCGAGACTAATGTGCAATGACTAACGCGTGCAACTCTGAACGGGTTTAGATGGGAAATACTTGGTACTGCCATCCGGAGAGCTGCACATCAGGGACGTCGGGCCCGAAGACGGATACAAGACTTACCAATGCCGCACGAAGCACAGACTCACCGGCGAAACTAGGCTATCCGCAACGAAGGGACGTCTCGTCATTACTGGTAAGTCGAAACGCCAAAGTGTCTCGTTCCTTTCATACGGAAATCACGATTCTGATTCGGCAACGCTCACTTTGTAAACGTCTCTCGATTGTCCCTCGATGTAAGCGGAGGGCTACAGCTTCACTCATCAACGTTCCGCGTCAGTTTCTCCAAAGTAATCAGAATCGTATTTCTAGTTTCGGACCTGGATACCAGTTCACGCAGTTTCAACTTTGCCGATCAATACAGTTATTTGTAGCGATTATTTTACACAGGTCGCACTTTACAATCATGAAAGCTAGTTAATTATAAAATTACTATTGCGTAATAATACGTTTGTCTGTCGAGTTAATTAGAAATTAATCGCGCGAGTTAAATAAATTTGAAAACTATAACAAATATAGGACATTTTCTTTTTCCTTTCTTTTTAAACATCTAGTTTACATATCTCTTTTAATTTAGCATAACTTTGGAGACGTCAATTTTTTAATACCGTCATTATGAACTATCTAGTTAATCGCGAGGTGTCTGGGTTCGAAACTGTCGTCCAAAAGACAATTGATTTTCCATAACAGACGTAAATATACACGAAATTAGCATTTCAAGCGATTACCGCGTAATCTTCCAAGTTAATTTCTAAACTCTCGCTCGCGTTGCTGCAAATTACTTTTGCATTTCTGGAAAATCAGTTTTCTCTTTGGGTTTATTGTCACGTTCAGTGAACGTGCAGTCGTTTGCGCCAACGAGTTTGATCGACTCTCGCTCGGTTCCTCCGAACACGCGAAACGTCAAGAGAAGAGACGTTCGATATTTTTATATCAGCGATTTGAATCTTTTCTCGTCTCGAAAAGGCCGGAACGCATGTCCGGCATCTAGCGCGATCAAGCTCGGGGGTGAACCTGAATGCTGGGACAGGGTACCCCTGCGGGCACGCGCCACCGCCCGCCCAAAACTCGACTCTTGACATGATCGGTTTCGAGAGGAATTGTTCAAAAAGAAAGACAAATGAAAGCTAGAAAAAAGAAGTGACTTGTGCGAAATTCTTTCGTTTTGCGGCGCCTTCCGCGATCTCCGGGCTCTGTCCTTCGCTCTCGCGTGGTAAGTTTACGGAACATGTTCTTTCAGCCGAGAACTTCACCGTGTGGATGCTGCGCATAGTTCGATAGACGTGGCACTCAACGCAGCTGAGCTCCGTTCTGTGCTGTGAATTAGGCGGAATCGATCGAATCTTTGTTCGCTCTTACAGTAAATTAGAAGGGATATTCGAGCCGGTTAAGTGCGACAATGATACCGGCCACATTTCCCTCATTTTTGAAAAGATCCTATCAGTCACGTCCTTGTCAGGTTCTATCTTGTGTTCATTTCTATGAAAAAAAGTAATCCGTATTAAGTCAAAATAGCACGTCGAATTGCTACACAGATTTTTCTTTTCGATCACTTTTATTCGTGGCTTGTATCATTGGTTCACTGAGAATGGCTTATCTTATCGCGTAATTCGGATAGTCGAAAATTAAGAAATTCGTTTCGGTATGCTCCGAGGTTACGACGCGACATTGAGCGAAGTCACTTTCGCTCCGCCACCGCTCTTGTTTCGTGTAGTTGTTGAGTATCACACCGATCGGCAGGATGACACCGATGAATGAATCGTTTTATTCGTACGAGCGGCACAATAGCGCGTAGGCAAAGCCCGTCGAGTCACGTTGACGCGATGCTATGATCTAGGGGCTAACTAGGGCAAGATGCAATGTAGCCGATAATAACGATGATTGGCGACGCGAGCAGGGGGCACGGTTCCACTGACTTTTCGTTATGCAGAACCCGTGGGGAGTGTACGGCCAAAGTTTCCTACGATGGACAACATAAACGGACTTTCCGTCCACTTGGAAGGCAATATACCGCTTCTGTGCCCTGCCCAAGGATTTCCAGTACCATCTCATAGGTACGACGTTCTTGATCGGAGCGCAGATTAACTTATGGCTGGAAATTATTAAACGAATACAGGATGAGTTTTATTTCGCGAACCAGTCTTTTACCATGAGAGTTGGATTACCCACCGAAACCCGGCAAAAAATGGATAAATCTCGTTATACAGGGTGAGTCTTTCCATATCCGACAAAATTTTTGAGAAGGTAGAACGGATCGAGATGAACGGAAAAGTCCTGTACCATTTTGCAATTTTCGTGATAGTTAACGAGTAATTAATTATTAAAAATCGTTGTCTTAGG